CTGTGAATTTGTGTGTGTGTGTATATATATATATTATATATCTACAATATAAAAGTCAGGCTAACATTCTGGGTGTATTAAGAACCAGGAAAGGGCAAAGTTTGAAAGAACTTTGACTCAAGGGAGCACATTCCTTCACGCAGGGTTGCGAAACACATTTCCACAGAAGGCTGTAAAGATAGAATTGATTGAAATTATCCAAAGAGAGATAGGAAGATAGTTGGAAGCTAAATTGTGTGCGGAAATGGGATGAGGAGTCCTCAATCCACTTCTGTTTGTGGGCGACGCTGCTGTGCGCAATTGGCTGCCGTGTTTTGCCCACAAAATATACAGTCAATCCAGTTTTTTGCAAAGCGTTTTGAGACATCTCGAAGACGTGATAAGGCGCTATATCGAATGCAAGGATTATTATTATTATTATTAAATGAGTTAACATAATCTAATAAACGGACAGTGCAGGGCAAATGACCTATTCGATCCTGTGATCCTATCTGCATTTCTATAGGCCCTTATCAGTTTGAAATGTCTCAGAGAGCTTCAAAGGGAATTATAGACAAACAGCAGTTAACTTGGGGGTATGTCAAGCTCCCACAAACACAAAGTGACTGACCAGTTCATCTGGATGATTATTGACCAGTTCACTTGGGAGAATCTCTCTTTTACCGACAGCATCACGTTAGCTAAAATACCCACTTGAAGAGACGGTGGATGGAGTAAATAACTTGCCCTTTTCTTTTTCTCAGAAAAAGTTGACGTGTTCAAATTTACGATTTCCCAGTACAAGTGATGGCTGGTGTCTTTTGATTTTAATAACTGTGTGATTTATGCTGAACTGAATAGTGGGAAGGAAACAGCACAGGGTGATGCTGATCACTGCTGCTCGCTGGTAGATTGTCATGCAACATATTGCATGTCTCAGTGGAATTTATGGCCCATTCCACCCACTTGCTTTCACGCAGTGCCTTTCACTTAGAAGCGCATCTCAAAGCAACTTAACCATAGGTGAGCTAAGCCATTGAGAAAGGAATAATAATGATTATAATCGTTGCGTTTAATGCAGCGCTTTATCACATCTTTGAGGCTTCTCAAAGTGCTTCACAGAATATATTGTAAAGTAAACTGACTGTTTATTTTGTAGGCGAAACCTGGCAGCCAATTGCACACAGCAGTGTCCCACAGAGAGTCATGGATTGAGTGACCAAAATATTATTATTGTTTTTTTTGGAAGGGTTTACTACCCCTGGAAAGAAATCCGCCAACTACTTACTTACAGGAGCCGTGTTGCTGTGTCGTTGGTCACAGTGTCGCAACCTTATAGGTGTGCGGAGTAAGGAAACTTGCCTAAAGTTTCGCCCTGCCCGGATCCTCTCGCTGGCGAGTGCTTTAACCAATACGCAACGGGACTCAGCACAACTAGTGTTTAACCATACATAACTAGATCTTAAATGCATTTTAAATCACTCTTTTGTTCAAAAGCCACGTTGTGTAAAATAATTTTAAAAATTGGTCTGAATTGGCTATGGCTGTTTAGTTTCTCCGCAGCACATTTTTCCGTGCCCTACCATTGTGTGATCTGCACACAAACAGTCCTTTGTGTCAGTCAGCTGCAAAATATGTAGTTAGCATGAGCCATGTGAAGCATTACATGGGTCACTGCGTCTTACTCGAGGTTGGAATGGGACGTGTTTATACATGTATATTTTGAAAATTGGTTGTTTAGTCGATTGGCGGACTTCCAGGGCTAATAATCCCTCCAAAGCAAACAAAAAAATCTGGTCACTCAATCCACAACCGTTTGTGGGGACGCTGCTGTGCCCAATTGGCTGCTGCGTTTCGCCCACATTAATACGCAGTCGCTCCCCTTTACGGTATATCCCTCTTTGAGACGTCTCAAAGACGTGATAAGGCTCTATATCAAATGCAAGGATTATTATTATCATCATCAACAACAACTTGGATTTATATAGTGCCCTCCACGCCGGACGGAGTCTCAGAGCTTCACAGTAACGGATCGCGGGACCGAGCCAGGGGGGAGGGGGAGGAAGGTGACCAAAGGCGCGGTCGAAAAGAAAGGTCTTCAGCAGAGACCTGAAAATAGGAAGAGAGGGGGCGAGGCGAAGGGAGTGAGGAAGGCAGTTCCAGAGCCTCACGGCATAGTGGCTGAAGGCACGGCCGCTGAGAGTGGAGCAGAGGATTCGGGGGACGAGGAGGAGGCCGGACCCGGAGGAATGAAGGCAACGGGTACTGTTTTAAGGAGAGAGGAGGTCAGAGAGGTCCGGGTTGCAGAGAAGTGCAGGGATTTGAAGACAAGGATGAGGATCTTGAAGTCGATCCTCTCTGGGATAGGCAGCCGGTGCAGTCTGGGCAGGACTGGGGGGATCGGGGAGCGGAGTTCGGTGTTTTATCATATAGAAAGTGGAGACAGCCATTAGGTTTCTGCTATACGCACAAATCAAAAGGTTTTTTTTTCATCAGAGGTGCCATTTGAGAGCAAGGCTTGTTGTTGCTGAGAACAATATGTGACTGTGATCTCCCAGCCGACTCGATCTGCAGAGAGCGAGCGAGTGAGCGCCATTGGGAACACTATAGCACAAGTGCCTCTCTGATCGGAAAGCTCAGGCATTCTTCCAGCAGTACGTCAGGTCAATTTAGGTTTGCTCAGATGGCTGCAAAGGCCAGCTGGAAGTTAACAGAACAGAGCGCAAGAAAGACGCTCTGCTGATGGGACTGCACACTGTAGATTCGTCCGTTACTTACAGCGTCACGGGAATCCTCTTTATTCCGAGGACACAAGAGCATTTTGTTTTGGAGGGCCAAGTACTGATTTTTTTTATTGGAGAATGATTCTTGTGGGGTCCTGTAGCATAGTGGTTAGCCCACTCGCCTCACACGCGAGAGGACTCTGGGTTGGATTCCCAGGCAGGGCAAAACTTGAGTCAAGTTTCCTTACTCCACGCGCCTCTGTTTACCCAACAGTGAGTAGGAACCCGGTTGTTAGTCGATTGGCAGATCACTTTTCTGGGGGTAATAATCCTTTTTTAAAAAAATTGATTAAAACAAATGTGGTCACTCAATCCACGGCTGTTTGTGGGGACGCTGCTGTGCGCAATTGGCTGCCGTGTTTCGCCCACAAAATACACAGTCATTCACTTTACAGTATATTCTGTGAAGCGCTTTGGGACGTCCTCCCGACGTGAAAAGCGCTATATCAAATGCAAGGATTATTATTATTATTATTATTACAGTATATTCTATGAAGCGCTTTGAGACGTCTCAAAGATGTGATGAGGCGCTGTGTCAAATGCAGGGATTATTATTTTGTTTTGGACGGCGAAGTTCCCTCAAGAAAGAATATACTGCGGTCGCCAAATGGTCAACAACTTGTTCTTTTGGAAGCTTGCTAAACTTCTAAACAGGGAGGGATGTCTTCGAGAAAATGCCACATGGCACAAATTCCGCTTTCTAGGCGGAACTTCCGCTGATTTTTTTTTTTTTTATAAAAACCATTGGAGAATGATTATTGCAGCATTGCAAAGGGGAAACTTTTCTTTCATTTCCGCATGAACTGGGCAGTTTGACATTGACGCCCACGTAGAAAAGCTGTCTCGTGTGACTTTTTTTATATAGAACGCTGCTTAATCCCGTGTGCGCTTGAGGCCATGGCAGGGTGGGGGAGAGGAGAGTGTGGGTGGGTGGGTGTGTGTGTGTGAATAGAGTAAAAAGAGTTCTGCCACTCAGCATTCAATGCAGAAACTTGATGCTTGTAAACATTTGAAGACCGAGGATTATCAGTGAATGGCGGAGGGGAGTGGGAGGAGAGGAGGGTGTGTCTGTATGTGTATGTGTATGTGAACGGTGCATGAGTAGTTCTGGCTCAACAACGACATACGGCATTTGCACAGCGTCTTTCATGTCGGGAGGACGTCCCAAGGCGCTGGACAGTCAATGATTTGCAGGGGGTTGGGATCAGGAGGGGTGGGAGGGGGGTTAGGTCGAAAAGGAAGGTCATGAGACAGGATTTGAAGAAGGCAAGGGAGGAGGTGAGGCAAACGGTCAGGGTAATTGCCTCCAGAAGATCAATTGAGTCAAATTGCTTGATGGGTGGCAAAGCTTTCTCCAGTCCTCCCAATTTCAGTGAATCCAAAATGACGGAATAAGCAAGGAGATGAAGAGAAAAGGCGGGGAGCAACAGAACATAGTCGCCAAATGTTCTTTTAGAAGCTCGCTACACTTCTAAATCAGGAGAGATGTCTTAGCGATGGAAGAGAGGAAATGGCTTGTGGTGTTAATTCCGGTCTCCACGGGAAAGTGTGGAGGCTGGCACCTATTTATCCCAACTCCATCACATGGGGAATTATTGTAGATGCCACGATACTCATTCCCATGAGGATAATGCGCTGAAAGGAATTTGCTCACAAGGACTTTGTGTCAAAGAAACAACAATGGCTGTTGTGTTTCTGCCTTTGTTAGGCCACGGCTTCAGGTCAGCATGTGACAACCTGCCGGTCAGGCAGCAGTCTGTGTATATAATACTTTCTTTTTTTCTTCACTTCGCTCAACAACTTGCGGAAACCTGCCAGCTTAGGACTTTGATTCTAACGTCTTGTACCTTAATGGTCAGAGCACTTGCCCTGCAAGCGAGAGGACCTGGGTTCGATTCTCGGGCTGGGTGAAACCTTTGGCAAGTTTCCTTACTCCACACGCCGCTGTTCACTTAGCAGTAAGTAGGAACCTGCTTGTTAGTCGATTGGTGGATCGCTTTCCGAGGGTAATAATCCCTTTAATAAAAATTTGTCTACTCAGTCGACCACGGTTTGTGGGACACTGCTGTGTGCAATTGGCTGTTGAATTTCGGCCACAAAGTGTACAGTCAATTTACTTTACGGTATATTATAAATGGTTTGAGACGTCTCGAAGATGTGATACTGCGCCATATCAAATGCAAGGTTTATTATTATTGATTATTGACTGTAATTTTTTCTCCACCCCTCCCTTCCCAGGGTGCCCTCACTGTAAAAACGCCGTCCCTTACTTCACGGCTGCCGCTGAACATTTCAAAGAAGAACGAAAGGTAATGTTCGGTGACTTGAGCGGCTTCAAGTCCGTCCCTCTCACTGCTTTTGTGACTGAGCTTCTCGCCGACCTCTGTACCTCTTGTCCCCCTGCGCTGCGTCTGAACTAACTTTAGGAGTGCAGTGCCTTATTCATGTACAACGACAACTTGCATTTATAATGGCTGAATTGCTGGACACGAATCTGGCGTCGAAGAGCATTGTGGAGTCCTGTAGCTCAGCAGTTAGAGCACTCACCTCACAAGCGAGAAGATCCGGGTTCGATTCCCGGGCAGGGCGAAACCTGAGGGGAGTTTCCTGGTTGTTAGTAGATTGGCGGATCGCTTTTCCGGGGGGATAATCCCTTTTTAAAAAGGGATTTGGTCACTCAATCCACGGCTGTCTGTGGGGGAACGCTGCTGTGCGCAATTGGCTGCCGCGTTTCGCCCACAAAATACACAGTCACTGCACTTTACAATATCTTGTGTGAAGCGCTTTGATAAGGCACAATAATACGGTGGAAAATGGGGCTTTGCTGCAATACAGCTGTATCCCAAAACACTCTCAAGATACGGAATTTGGCACATTTTTTTAAAAAAAAAACAGTCCTCTTAACAACTCTGATTGCAGCAGCCCGATAGTTTGCAAAGCTCTCTGTGCCAATTTAAAGGGAGTTCACTCCTCAGTGGCGACGAGGGATTGTTTTTTTGTCGAAGTGTGGAGCAACGACAGAAACTCAGCTGGAAACTGAGCTGATCAGCTTCCAGCCCAAGCTTGGGATTTTCTTGTTTCGTTTCAAATCCTTTTTTTTTTTGCTTCCATTCCATTCGATTCTCTTTTGTTGCCGCCTCACCTTGGCCCCGCTCTTCTCCAGCAGGGAGAGAGAATGAGCCAGGCATGAGGTGCTCTAACTCTCTCTCTCTCTTTCTTTCTCTCTCTCAATTCCCAGAACCTTAGGCAAGTTTCCTTAGTCCACACGCCTCTGTTTACCCAGCGGTGAATAGGAACCCTGTTAGTAAGTTGATTTGCGGATCGCTCTCCAGGAGCAATAATCCCTCCCCCGAAAAAATAAATTAACAAAATAATAACGTGGTCACTTCAGTCCAAGCCTGTTTGTGGGACGCTGCTGCGGCTGCCACATTACGCCCGCAAAATACACAGTCACTACACTTTGTGGAGTCCTGTAGCTCAGTGGTTAGAACACTCGCTTTGCAAGCGAGAGACCTGAGTTCAATCCCCGGCAGTCAGGGCGAAACCTTGGGCAAGTTTCCTTACTCCACACAGAGCCTAATAATAATCCCTCCAAAACCAAAAACAATAATAAATTGGTCATTTTCAATCCACGACTGTTTGTGGGACATTGCTGTGCGTTCGCCCACAAATATACAGTCAATTCACTTTACAGTGTGTTCTGTGAAGCGCTTTGGGACGTCCTCCCGACGTGAAAAGCGCTATATCAAATGCAAGGATTATTATTATTATTATTTATTACTTTACAGTATATCATTTGAGGCGCTTTGAGATGACTCGACGATGTGATAAGGGGCTGCATCAAATGCATAGATTTTTTTTCCCTTCTTCCTCACTTTTTTGCTCTCATTTTCGCTCTCTCTTGCTCTCTCTCTCTCTCCTGCAACTTCTCTCAACGCAGCCTGTCTACGGCTGACAGAACAGCAAGGTGAAATGCCTCCTCCCTGATTTCCTTCCCTGCTCCCTTTCTCTCTTGTGTCTTTTCTGTCCTCGCCGAATCTCACTTTTAATTATTTTCTGCTCCCCAACTGGGATGGCCTTTACCAGCTGTCGGCCGGCTCTGCTGAGAGCTGGTGAAATGAACTGAAAAACGTAAGCGTTTTTATTCTCCGCCAGTTTTCTCCCGTCCCCTGGTCTTGTCGTCTCCTCTTCTCCTGGAGGCCGTTTGACTCCTCTTCCTCCAGGCCCCATCACCCATCATGGAGGACTGTAGCTCAGTGGTTAGAGCGCTCCCCTCACAAGCGAGAGGACTCGGGTTTGATTCCCGGCCAGGGCAAAATGATAGGCAACTTGCCTTACGCCACACAACTCTGTTTACCTAAGCAGCAAGTTGGAACACGGTTGTTTGTCGATCGGCGGATCGCTTTCTGAGGGTAATAATGCCTTAAAAAAAAGAATAATTTAATCACTCAATCCACTTTTTTAAAAAAAAGTGGTCACTGTTTGTGGGACGCTGCTGTGCGTAATTAGCTGCCGGGTTTCTCTCCCACATAATATACAGCCAATTCTCTTCATAGTATATTCTGTGAAGCGCTTTGAGACTTCTGGAAGACCCGATAGGGCACTATATCAAATGCAAGGATGATTATTATTATTATAGAAGCATTGATGGGCGTGCAGATGTATAAAGGTTCCCAGTGATGCACTTTCCAGCTGCTGTTCAGCATTGATTGTATTTTCATTCCATTTCTTCCCCCCACTCCCCTCCGAGTTGCAAATTGTGTGTTCTGTGCATTTTACTTCCGTAAGAACTTAAAGTGGGAATGTTTAGCAAGCCTGGTAAAGGGAGGTTGCTCCCATCACAAAGGAGGGCTCAGGTTAATGGTGCCCTGCAGGCAATTTTTGCACATCTAAATCCAGGCTTTTATTGCTCATCAACAGGTCACTTCCTCCCTTAACTGTCTCGTGGCCTGTGGTTTCAGTTTTCGTATTTCTGCCGGCACAATAATAATAATAATCCTCGCATTTGATACAGCGCCTCATCACGTCGTTGAGACCTCTCAAAGCGCTTCACAGGATATACTGTCAAGTGGGTTGACTGTTGATTTTACGGGTGAAACGCGGCAGCCAATTGCGCACAGCAGCGTCCCCACAAACACTCGTGGATTGAGTGACCAATTTATTATTTTATTTGTTTATTTATTGAAGGGATTATTACCCCATCCATCCGCCAATGAACTAACAACCAGGTTCCGACTGACTGCTGGGTAAACCGATGCGTGTGGACTAAGGAAATCTACCTACGGTCTTGCCTTGCCCTTCATGTTAGTGGGGCACCGCTGGGACTGTTCACTTTTCCCACTGTGAAGCACTTTGAGACGTCTCAACAACGCAATTAGGTTCTATATCAAATGCAAGGATTATTATTATTATTTCCACAGCCCACCCCCTCCCCCCAGCGACAAGCGAAAAGTTTGTTGCCCCAAAATTTGTGTCATTGCACATCCTCGCGGGAAGTTCATAGAGAATGATGTCTTGTATTACAGTTAGATTATTGAGTTGTCCTTCTGCACAACCTTGCTTGCTGGCGTGCGTATTGATCAGCAACTTGTGTTAATGGAGCTTAACTTTGCCCAATTCCACTATAGTATCTGCAGTGCTCACGAGCGATGCCAGGAATCGATGCACTTTATGCTGCTTTACTCAATTTCTTGCAATTTTTCCAAATGACTGTCAATCCCAACTCCATTAAGACATCCATCTCTCTGCCAATAGACCAGTTATGCTGATGGGATATTGTGTTAATAAAGGGGACAGTTGCACTTTTATGAAAGCTAAATGGTTGCTGGAGGAGATGACCTCCCCCCCCCCCTCTCCCCCGCCAGTGATTCCGTACATTTCTTAACGCAACAACAACTTGCATTAATATAGCGCTCCTCACACAGGGTAGCGTCCCAGAGCGCTTAATGCATTACTGCACCCGTCTCTGAACAATCCTGCTGTGTATCCTCACGCTCGTCATCAAATCCCTTCACACCCTGGCACCTCCCTACTTCTCCGACCTCCGCCATTGTCAAGCACTTATCCTGCGTGAAGGGCACTTTATAAATGCAAGTTGCTGTTGTGTTTTTTTTTATTTCAGCAGCAATGACAATCCCCTGAATGTGCAGAGCTTTCAGTACGTTTTGAATCACTACCAACTCATTATCATTTGTGAGACTGCAGCCTGTTTGGAGATTAATGCGGATTAAATTGTATCGAACTCCTTGTGGCAGTGTTATTAATTGACCACTGCATCAAAAAGCCTATTCTTTACATCGCTCGGGTGAGGAATTAGGCGGATCCTCCGAATTTACTATCCAATTGGTTTTAAGGCAATGCTTATGTGTCCCTTCAGCGAAGCAATACTTCCTTACCGCTGGAATAAATCCCAGACTCGCTGGAGGTTGTACAGTTTGGCTAAAAGTTAATTTTCTCTCTCTCTCTCAATCTTTCGTGTAGCTGGCCTCACACTCTGTTTCACGAGCACTGATACTCCCTTGTTATCTGGGTACCCGCCTGCTGCTCTCTCTCTTTCTCTCTCTTTCTCTCTCTCTCTCTCTCTCTCTCTCTCTCTCCTCCTTTCTTTTCTTACACTCAGAACACACTTAACCTGTGTTTATTGGAGAGTTCCAATTAATCCTGAGTTCGGAATGATAACTGACTGGCATTTGTTTTACAGTTGCTTTGGCTCATTCATTGCCTCTTGTGTTCACATCTTTGGGTCAGAAGATTGTGGAATCATTCCCCTTAAGTCAGAACTTTGAACTCATTACTGACAGTCCAGCATAGTACTGGGATCAGCTTTATATTGTCGGAGGTGCTGTCCTTTGGGTGTGTGCGTTGATAATTATAGCCCTGTGGTGTATATCACAGGGCTATAAATATTTAATAATTTTTTTAAGAAAAATAATAATAATTTGCTCACTCAATCCATGACTGTTGGCACAATTGGCTGCCGAATTCGCCCGCAAGATATGCAGTCACTCCACTTAACAGTATATTCTGTGAAGCGCTTCACAACTCACAACTTGTGAGCTTTCATGCACTTGTTGTTCACCCGGTTGCTATTTGGTATCTTGCAGATCGCTTACGCTGCAGTGGACTGCACCAGAGGACAGAACAACGAACTGTGTAAAGTGGAGGGTGTAGAGGGCTACCCCACCATCAGCTATTACAACTATGGCAAGTTTACAGAGAAGTACAGTGGAGAAAGAGGGGTGAGTACAGACATCAGTGGGTGATAAAAGTATTCCACGTTGGTGGGTCACTGGGTGGAAGTGCACTTTCACCAAACAACTCCGAAAAAATGAATGGTTTTTAATATCTTCTGCCTCTCGAGGGTTCGTGCTTCATTAATTAATTGTTAGTTAGATAGTTAAGCCAGTTGCTCTTGGTGCTACTCAACCTTTTAATTGCGTGAACAATAACAATTTTACATTTACACAGCGCCTTGCACATCGGGAGGACGTCCCAAGGCGCTGGATAGTTAAGGGTTGGCACCTGAGCTGGAGATTGGAATCAAGAGGGGTGGGGCATAGAGTAGGGTGGGGGGGCGGGGGTGTTGAGAGGGTGACCGAAAGCCACGATCAACGAAGAAAGTCTTGAGAGAGGTCTTGAAGAAGGCGAGGGAAGGGAGGAGGCAAAGGGACTCTTGATATGGACCTGCAGAGGGTGGGGGCTGAATGGCTGAAAGCCCGACCACCGATGGTGGGGAGGGCAGGGTGAGGGATGGGAAGCAGGCCAGTGCCTGCTGAGTGGAGGGAATGACCAGGTTACTAGTGCTTGAAGGGGTCACAGAGGTAGAGTGGGGCAAGACCGTGTGGATCATATAACAAGTGGACGGCTCCTTAATGCGTTTCCTCTTGTTTTCCCAGGGAGACGGTTTCATTGAGTACATGGAAGGGTTGAGAGGAAGAGGCCACGATAAGATTGGGAAGCGAGGGGAGGAGTTGTGATCGGGCCTGGCTCCATCCTGCCACTACACGACACTGTGAAAGACCCTCATTTTCAACCCTGACCGTACTAAACCGCCTGCCACACTTTCCCAAGGGCCAGAGTGTTTTTAATGAAGAACGACCAGTTTATAATGTTTTTTCTACCAAAATGGACCACTTGTAGGGATTTTATATCAAAAGACTACGTGCTGTCATGAAGTGGGGAGGGAGGGGTGGGTGGGTGTGGGGAGGGGTTGAAAAAGAATTTGATGCCATCTTCTCTACGGTTTTGTTCAAGTGCTAAGCGCATGTTCCGCTGGTACAAAACCCTAGGCGTCTCCTAGTGCCAATGTTCTTGGTTACTCCGTCCGCATCCCTTCCTGCCGATTGCAATCCTTTTCACGCAGACTTGTTTGGTTCGGCACAAGAGTGCAGTGTAAAACTTCCGCTTCTCTGCAAAGCCTTAAAACAGAGCTCACGGGCCCTCAACGGTGAGCAAGAGGGGGTTTGTCTGACTCAATAATAATTTGGTCACTCAAACCACGGCTGTTTGGGACACTGCTGTGCGCAATTGGCTGCCACGTTTCGCCCACAGAATACACAGTCCTTGGCGTAATAAGGCGCTATATCAAATGCAAGGATTATTATATACAAGTCGGTGCAAAACAGAACCCCTCGTGTTCTACCTGGACTGCGGTCAATAGGAATTAGGATTTGAGTGTGTTGTGTTGGTCGGTCTGTCTCTATGTGGGTCACGTTCTATGCAAAATATTTTGTATTTGTGGGTTTTCTACATTGTGGTCGGACACAGGGTGGGGGTGGGGGGGGGGGTGGGAATATTCCTGGATTTCTTTTTCCCTTCGGGTGGATGGAGGAGGGTTTGGAGGGAGGGAGAGGGAAGGGAAGAGAGATTGGATTACTGGGAGGTTGGACGTTTTTTAATCAAGTTGCTCAGGGATGGTGTAGGGATGTCACAAAGAAGCCGAGTGTGATTATGTTTGCATTTCCGCTGATATGTTTGCGAGGGAATCAAGGATACTGCAATTACTTGTGACTTAAAGTGGCCATGCTGAAAAAAACAAGACTGTTTGAACAAGATATCGATCAGGACAACAGCTACCCTGAATTCTTTTGCAGTTAATGGCCCGGTAACGAATGATTCTATTTCTTCTTCCAATTGCATGTCACACATGGGAAAATTAAACTTGCCAGAGAGAATGAATAAAATGTTTTGCGATTCAGTTGCACTAGTTTTGCATATTGCTCCGGCCTCCTTCCTGCTTGTCCCTCGTGCCCTCCGTTCCACCATCAGTGGATGTGCTTTCAGCCACTACGCCCCGAAACCCTGGAGCTCTCTCACTCAATCCCTCTTTGCATTCTCCTTCCCCGTCTTCAGGTCGCGCCTGACCACCTTCCTCTTCGACCGTGCCTAGGGTCACCTCCCCCGGCTCAGCGCCAGGCTCCGCCACTGTCAAGCGCTCTGAGACACTACCCTGGCTGAGGGACGCTGTGTAAATGCAGTTGTTATTGTTGAGTGCAATGATCTGCACCGATATGAGAGGAAGTGAAGGACATTAAAGCCCACGTCAAATAAAATCGGTCACTCATTTCACAGCCGTTTGTGGGACGACACTCTGTTAATCGGCTGCAAATACAGTCGCTGCACCTCACAGTATATCCCCAGAACACTTTGAGATATTCTCCCGCTATGAAAGGTACTGTCTCAAATACAAGGATCGCATTCCATCTTCACATTAAATAAGAGGCGAAAAAAGTCAAGAGGCTTCCAGTTACTAAGTGTTTTTCCTGCCCTAAGCTGCACAGGCGAGACAACCCCAAGTCTTGCTCATTTCTACTCTCATCATAGTCTAAGTTGATGCTCCAATCCCGCGCTGGGGGAGGGGGGGGTGTTGCATTGAGGGAGACGCCGTCCTTCGGATGAGACATTAAACGTCACTCCCCGTCTGGCTGTTCAGGTGGACGTTAAAGATCCCGCGGCGCTATTCAAAAAGAAAATGGAGTTTCTCTCTCTTTCCCGGTGTCCTGGCCAACAATCCCCCAAATAAAATTGATCACTTACTGCATGGCTGCTTGTGGGACATTGCTTAATAATAATAGATTACTAATAATAATCCTTGCATTTGATATAGCGCCTAATATCACGTCGTTGAGGCATCTCAAAGATGCTTTATTAAATGCAAGGATTGCAATTACTATTAAAAGTGTATTTGGTGAGAGAAACCCGGCAGCCAATCGCACACAGCACATTGGGGAAGCAGAGCAGAACTCTCTACGGAGGACGTTGCATTATTCTTCCTGGGGAGGCTTGGGAAAAAAAAAGCCCCAAGGGGTAGAATGGTCCTAGCTGGAGAAGCAGCAGGAACGCTGGCCAGACAGTGATATCAATGACAAGCTATGCAGTTTATCTGGTTAGACTCCAGCAGTTACCTCAACACACGCTCCCCTCAAGCCTTGGCTCTTGCCAACCTGCGCCAAATACTCTCCGGAATTAGGTAAGCAGGACGCATCCCTCCAGTGCGAGAGAGAGAGGGAGCATTTCATTCCAATAATCTATCTCTGGGATTTCCACGTGTAGGTGGGAGACATGGAATTCTCAGTTGGGAGACTCTTTAGCAACGGTGATGGGTTTCCCATCCAAAAAAAATAGGAGCAGAAATAAATTTAGTTCCTCGAAGTGGGGGTAATGGGAGCTTTTGTGTTCTGTTCGGTTAAAAGATTACACGCCTGAACTTGCACATTTATTGTCAGCTTGGTCTCTCTGCAGAGAGATTCTTTTGTGTGTGTGTGTGTGTGTGCGTGCGCGCTTGTTGCATATGTTTTTAGCATTTTGAACCTGGAGATAACTCCGGAGGGATTAGCATCGAGAATGTGATCTGAGGAGTTCTGCAAATGCAAACCGTTTTAATAAGGTCATGAATTTAACAGGAAGAAAATGATAAAGTGGCCCATCAGAGTCCGCCTGCATTCCTCAGCCTCTCCCAAAGGCACAATTCAAGATTTCCTGTTTTTTTTTTGTTGCTTTCCCCCAAAAAACACATTTGACTGCCAATGCTTACGAGAAAAAAGTGGTCCTAATGGAGCTTATTATTGCAGGGTTTCTCTCGTCCACAGCGGCACTTGTTCATCTGGGATTTGTAAAAAAATAACCTGTGTCTTCATCTGGTATCTTGTGGAGTCCCTCTAGCGTTGTGGTGAGAGCAAGCGAAAGGGCTCGGGTCCGATTTCTGGGCAGGGTGAGACCTTAGGTAAGTTTCCTTACTCCACACGTCTTTTTACCTAACAATAAGGACGGACCTGGTTATTAATCGATCAGCGTATCGCTTTCCCGGGGGTAATAATCCCTTCAAAACCCCCCAAAATGTAGTCATTCAATCCAGTGTTTGTGGGACATTGCACAATTCACTGACTCATTTCGCCCACAAAAAATACAGTCAGTTTATTTCTGAGCTGCCTCAACTTCGTGATAAGGTGCATATCAAATGCAAGGATTATTATGTTTATTATAGTCTGGATTGACATTCCAGCGCAGTGCTGGGGGTGGAGTGGAGAGGGAAGTGGGGGGGGGGGAGTGGGGGAGGGTCATTGTTGGAATTGCCGTCATTCAGAGGAGGCGTGAAAGCTATTCAGATAGATGTTAAAACGTCCCATGGCACGATCTGAAAAGAGAAGGGAATTTGTCATGGTGTTCTGGCCAACAATCCCCCAGATAAAATTGGTCATTCACTTTGTGGCCATTGCTGCGTGCAAATCGGCTGCCGCGTTTGTCGAGGAATCCAATCATTACAGTACAGTAAATCCTGTGGAGAGCTTTGAAGAGCATTTCAATGATGTGGCGAGACGTCATATCAAATGCCATTCACTCGGTCGGAAGTAGTGTCCTTCAGATGAGGCAGCGGAATGAGGTGCCATCTGCTTGTTCCGCAGGTAGTCATTAAAGATGCCGCGATGCTGTTGGAAAAGAGAAAGGAGTTTCTCACGCTGCCGTAGCCAACAATCTTGCCGTGAAAATTGCTCACTCACCTCACGGCTGCTTGCGGGACCCCAAAATGTCTCCCACGTTTTGCCTGAAGCAATCACCCTACTTGCTTGCTTTCTTGCTTTCTTTCTTTTTCTCTCTTTTTTTTTCCCTTCTCCCTTTCTCTTTTTCTTTCTCTTTCTCTCTCTCTTTCGTTCTGCTTCCTTCTTCCATCTCTGTGAATTTCCGCAGCAAGAGGGAGGACGGAGGCGATAACGTGCTCTGGGAGAGAGAGAGAGAGAGAGACAGAGAGAGATGTAGAAGCAAGGAGATATTATGTCTGAAAGTTTGCCAGAGGCGTTTTGGATTGATGCGGAGTGTTGGGTTCCAACGGCAGCAGCTGTTGTGTCTTCCTGGCATAAGCAAAGATTTCTGGCTTCAAACACCAGAATTCTTATAGCACGCTTTGCTGTAACCATGTTAAGGGCTGACAGGATGTGAGGAAATCTCCGAGGTCCTGACTGCCTAACAGATCAGTCATAGCTCTAGGACGGTTGACTCATAAATTGAGATTGCAAAATATTACAAAGTTCTTAAATTCAGGCTTAATTCCTCCTCGCCAGACTCCGCTGGCCCCCGATCGCCTTCAAGATCCTCACACTCGTCTACAAATCGCTTCAAGCCCTAACACCTCCCCACCTCTTCGATCTGCTTTACTTCCCAATCCACCACATGCCGCATCTGCTCTGCTGGCTCTGGCCTCCTACATGTCCCTCGTCCCCTCCGCTCTCAGCCACCAACGCTCCGAAAATGTGGAATTCTCTCCCCCAATCCCTCTGCCTTGCCATCCTTCCCATTTGCAGGTCACCCCTCAAGATCTTCCTCTTCGACCGTGTCTACAGTCACCTCCAACCCACCCCCCCCGTATCACACATTCAAGATCTTTTTAAAAAAATCTATCTCTTTAACCACGTATTCAGTCACCTCTTTCCAACTCCCAATCTCCCTCTCGTAACCCATCCCCTCCTTTGTGAAGAGCTTTGAGATGTCTTAGGCTCTCTGGGACGCTACCCTGGATGAAGGACGCTGTATAAATGCAAGCTGATGTTTGTTTGTTGTTTGTTTCCTCTGTGAAGGGCGCTGTGTAAGTTCAAGTCGTCATAGTTGTACCTTGACATATGGAACTTCTTCATGGAAAAGAATTATTGTTGAGCTGCCAAGATCCTCCGAGATGATAAGGAATTGTTTGTGTGGTTTATTTTTCTGAGAATCTTGGCAATTATTCCTGGCCACCTCCGGCAATGACACCGCAGCACAGGGGGAGAGGGTAACATATGGTGCAGAGGGTTGGGGGGGGGGGAGGGAGAGAGGGGGGGCGGGGGTGTGGGTGGTGTCCACGTTATTCTCGCTCAGAGATACGCCATCATATTTACTTGACTGGAGTGAGATAATAGTAACACAAACTGTGAAATTAACCCTAATGGATGGATCAGAAGGCACATGTGATAAACATCTCCATAATCCAGAACAGCTCGCTCCCTAAAAAGAAAACGTTCGTGCTACGAATGCTTATGAAATATCTTGTTTGTTTTACTCCTCTCCTATTTCTTTCCTCCTCCTCCTCCTCCTCCTCTCTTTTTCTGGTTGCAGTCCCCACGGGTGCCCCCTCTTCCTGTGTGCTTAGACAACGAATGTCGAACCGACTCAGCCAGAGGAGAGCATCGCCGCCTGACGCTGCCCTCGACATTTCCAGGAAGGAGTGGGGGGGGTCATACGCTGGACCTCGTGCTTAGAGCGCTCGTCTCGTAAGCGAGAGAGAGAGAGAGAGAGAGAGGACCCGGGTTCGGTCCCCAGGCCTTACTTTTCCAAATAATAATAATGTGGTCACTCAATCCACGGCTGTTTGTGCGGGGACGTCGCTGTGCGCAATTGGCTGCCGCGTTTTGCTCACAAAACACACAGTCACTGCACTTTACTGTGTATCCCGTGAAGCGCTTTGAGACGTCTCGAAGACGCGATAAAGGCGCTGTATCGAATGCAAAGATCATTGTTATTATTAATTATTATTATCATGAATTACCCTCTGAGTGAAGACACCCTCTCCACATCTATGTAACACGTGTGTGGGGGGGGTGGAGCCTGGCTGCCGGTGAGGGGGCGGAGCCTGCGTGGCAGGTGAGGGGCGGAGCCTGAGTGCAGGTGAGGGGCGGAGCCTGGTTGCAGGTGAGGGGGCGGAGCCTGGCTGCAGGTGAGGGGGCGGAGCCTGGGTGCAGGTGAGGGGGAGGAGCCTGGGTGGCGGTGAGGAGGCGGAGCCTGGTTGCAGGTGAGGGGGCGGAGCCTGGCTGCAGGTGGGGGGGAGGAGCCTGGGTGCAGGTGAGGGGGCGGAGCCTGGGTGCAGGTGAGGGGGCGGAGCCTGGGTGCAGGTGAGGGGGCGGAGCTTGGTTGCCGGTGAGGGGGCGGAGCCTGAGTGCTGCTCCAGTCGGGGGGGTGTGGCTTCAGTGCGCCTGCGCGTGTCTGGCTGTTGGGGGCGTGGCCGAGCGAGCGGCGCGCAGTGGGGGCGGGAGCGGTGCAGTGCGCCTGCGCGGCAACGGCTCAACGGGGCTAACCGTCGCGAAGGAGGAGGAGGAGGAGAGAGAGAGAGAGGCGGAGACGGTTGGCGAACTGTCATAGGAGGCCGCGACCCGGGGGCCGGTCACCGCCTCACACACACACACACACACAGGGCTCTGGTTCATTGAGATTCAGCCCGAGGCCTAGGCCGCCCCCCCCCTATCCCCGGTCTTTCCCGGAGCCTCGGCCTTGCCTGGCGCTGTGGCACCGCCCGAGGAGCGTCCGGAGCGGGGTAAGGGTCACCAGGTGCGGCCTGGCTTTCTGATCGGCTTTTACCACTGCAGCAAACACAACAGAGCGGGTTCTTTCCCCCCCCCCTCCCCCACACCACCCCCCCCCCACCCCCCCAGGGACTGTGCACGAATAATAATAATAATTAATAATAATTAATAATAATAATAACAAGCGTCGCATTTGATGCGGAGCCCTCATCGCGCCGTCGAGACGTCTCGAAGCGCTTCGCGAGGACGTGCGGCGGAGCGTCGGCGGCTCGGAGACCGCTGAGCCGGGCCGACCCCCCCACCACCCCCCCCCCCCGAGCGAAGCCCTGCGGAGCGAACAGTCGGGGGGGGGGGGGGGACTGTTAATTTGAGCCCCGAGTGGGGCTCGAGCCCCGGCTTGACGCTGGCCGGCGCCCTCGGTCCAGTTGTCCAGGCAGCGAGGCCGGTCATCAAGTCAATAAACAGCCCCCTTCGCCTTTGGCGGCCGAGACGTCTCGAAGCGCTTCGCTGGGTGTGTTGTGAACGCGGGGAGTGACCGCGGGGTTTTTTTTTGTTTTTTTCCCGCGGCGCCAACGCGCGACGACGACGACGACGACAAAAAAAAAAGAGAAACCGGTGAAGTCGTCTCCGCTGCTGTCGGGCCGGAGGCGGTCGGTGGCTACCGATCTTCGGCGGTGGGGTTCTGTCGCGGATCTCCACCTCCTCGGGAGCTCGCGTCGGAGAGCGCGATTCACCCGGGAGGTTTGCGGAGGAAAAGGCAGAAAAGTAGAAATTTCGAACTACGGCGGCTCGCGCTTAACGTGGCTTCCCAGCCACGTGGGTCGAGGGTCCCGGAGCGCTTGACGGGGGGGGGGCGGAGCGCGGCGACGAGCCGGGGGGAGGGGGGGAGGCGACCGTGAGCACAGTCGAAGAGGAAGGTCCTCAGGCGCGATCTGAAGGTGGGGAAGGAAGGGGGCAAGGCAGAGGGATAGAGGGAGAGTGTTCCAGAGTTTCGGGTGGTCGGGGCTGAAAGCAGCAGCACCGGTGGTGGAACAGAGGGCAACGGAGGACACGCAGGAGGCCGGAGCCAGTCGAGCAGAGGCAACGGGATGTGGGTTGGGGAGTGAGGAGGTCGGAGAGGTAGGGAGGTGCCAGGGCCTGGAGGGATTTGAAAACGAGTGTGAGGTTTTGGAAATCGATCCGTTCGGTGATAGGGAGCCAGTGGAGCCCGGCGAGAACTGGTGCCATGCGGATACAGAGTTTATTACGGGTAAGTATACGGGTGGTGGAGTTCGGGATCAGCTGGATTTTGTGGATGGTGGAGCTGTGGGGAGACCAGCGAGGAGGGCATTTGAATAGTCTCAACTTTCCACAGGATGGGGAGGGAGAGAAGATGGAATAGAGCTGCCTTTTCTAATGTCAGTATTGCATAAACATTAAAATTAATTCCAGAATTGGGGCTTCGAGTGAGAACTGGGATGCACAAAAGCATTTGAGTGACCCTCTGCCGATTAAATCCTGTGAGTAGTAAGTGCCGAAATAGCGGTGTGGCAAGTTTCGGAAGATATTGATGGATTACTGGAGGGAAGTCAGCTGCACGTCTGTGATCCGATCCCTGGAATTGCACGACCTCATGAAGCTTCAAAAATGACATTTGAGTGGTTTATTACCATCATCTGAACTCGAGGATTTTTTTTTATTGCTGCCTTGTAATCACTTGCTTGTATCTGCTTGGTGGATTTTATTAAGTTTTAGGCCCATTTCTGGGCTGTCAGTGGTGATCCATACGGATTCTAACTTGTCATTACACTCTTAATGTCATCGTTGGAAGATGACAAGAGTCGCACAAGTAGATTAATGGGGGCTGTACGTTTATTGAAATGTAATCTGCAGTTTATTGGAACTTTCTGCATCCAGTGTGTATATTAAATATACTTTATTGGGTTTTAATTTTAGGAATATTTCTAATGTCACCTCTGTAACCTCTGGTGTTCAGGGCATGAGATAATTACTGCATTGAGAATTTGTAATGTCCTTTTGAAAGATTCTATGTAAAATATGTATTCTAGTAGTAGTTATTGTCTGATAGTTGGCACGTAAAATCCCATGCAGGCTTATATGCCATGATTATTATAACAGGGCATGCACTGGTCAGCACTTCTGCATCATAACATCATCCTAAGTTTACTGTGTGGCTTTCCTGACGTGTAGTTTTTCCGTAAAGGTGGTGCCCCTTTAAATGAGTCTGAGAAAATAACATACGTGGTACCAGGCAGATTTGAGAGGCTTGGCAGGCGGGTGGTTATGAATGGTTTGGGTTACATTTTGGCAGAGCGCTGTGCTGTAACCCAAATACTACTCCACTGTTTGTAGTACTAATGCTGTGTACTTGTACTATTGACTGGCTTGCTACTACTGTTGGGAATCTTAGCAGTTAGACCCTCTCCCGCCTCCCCCCACCCCCCCCCCCCCCCACACACACACATCAACACACATATAAACGAGCATATAGATCTCTCAAAACTTCAAAACCCTCATAAAACTTTTCAACCATGCCTTTGGTCAACATATTAAGATCTCTGTTTTCTCCGCTTAGTGCTCCCTCTTATAGCTGCGCTCTGGGATGCTACCCTGTGTGAGGGGCACGATAGTCGTCGTTGTTTATCACTTCAAGATGTTCGTCATAAGTGGAAGGCTTATTTTTGTTTCGTTTCACTTTGATTTGATGGAACTAATTCTTTAGATCTGAGTCTCAACCAAACTCCTTCTTCCACTTGGAAAACAAATCTATTGCTAAGATTTCTGAGTGTGTTCAGTTTTGGAACAATTTGTGATACGCTTCCCTGTTCAATTGCATTTTTCAGCAACTTTAAAGCTTGTTGGAAATGTCCATGGTCCTGTTTGCTGCCGTTGTGCGTGTCCGCGATGGCCTTCCACTCTCCGCGTCCACCGACTATGAACATAACAAGGGAGTGCAGGAGAGCAAGAAGCACCTTAAAGTGTTGTCCAAGAAGCTAAGCCAACTGCCTGACCGATGTACTCTACAAGCCGTGCACTACAACATACAGTAAGTCTGTCAACACCCCTTTCTTCTCCTGAGCACACTTTTGTTTTTTGTCAAGATATTGTAAATTGCAAACGGTATTACGTTGTCATTGGCAAGAACTGGAACCCATAATCTCCCATCGTGGAGTCCTAAACCTCAGTGGTTAGAACACTCGCCTCGCAAACGAGAAACCTTGATTCAATTCCCACCGAATCGTTGGGCAAGTTTCCTTACTCCACACGCCTCTTGTTTACCCAGTAATAAGTAGGAACCCGGGTGTTAGTCGATAGCCGATAGCAGAATGTAGAGAGCAGCAGGTGACTGTGCCACCTAGTTTGTGTCTCAGTAACCAGTTTCACAGGATGCCAAGTGAATTGATGGCCAGTATGTGGAGGAATCCACTTCAACCCGTTCACTGGACTGGGTTCAAGCAGGATGCAATTTGGAACGTGTGCAGAATCCCTCATCTCAGCCAAGTGTAGCGATAGATGCCAAAGGGAGGAGAGAGTTAGGGATGAGTCACTCTAGAGTACCCTTGCGGTCTTTATTTCCTCCCAAAAAAAACTTTCAAGTGACTGGTTTCAAGAACGTCATTGGCAGGAGTGCAAATACAGTAACGATTCAAATTGGATTCAGTGGAGAACATATATTTTTCTTGCTCAGCCAAGGGTTGAAAATGATTAATTGCTGCTACATATCCCTACGTCTCCATCCCTCTTCTGCAGGCAAGCAGACATGAAGAGCCTTGCCTGTCAGCAAATGACTTTGCTGAGGTGTCTCAGAAATGTAAGCAGCCATTTAGAGAGATCAACAACATCCAAACTAATGTGGTTTCTATTTTGGGGGCTGATTCTTGGCGTTGTTGTCACAAAGAGTGGAAAGTCACTGGCTTAACTGGAGACTCAAGGTTGCAGAATCGATTTTTTTTTTGACAGCAGGACTATTTTGTCTTAACAGCAACAACTTGTGGTTATATAGTGCCCATCATGCAGGGTAGCGTGCTGGAGCACTTCAAGGTTAAGATCATATAGGACGGAGGAACATTCGTAAATTCAAACTTAACCCGGAAACCTATCTGTCCGCCCGTGCAGGTGGACATTAAATAATGCATTACAATAGTTGAAAAGAGAACGGACTTTCTCCCAGTCTCCTGGTTATTTGTTGAATATTGCCAACCACCATGTTTTTCCACAGTCACTACACTCGTTACTGTTACTGAATAATATCAAAATATCAAGACGTTATAGGTGACAAACACACCCACATACACGGGTCTTCTTTGTAAGGCTCTTTCTTTCCCCCACGGAATGTTTTCAGTTTAGTAACTCTTAAACATGACGGGCAACAGGTTTCTGCGTGTGTCAGACACCCGGCTGATCCCCCAACGAAAAGCCCTGACACAAACATACCCGAATTCTGTGCTCTTATTAAGCATGAGAAATGTTACTGGTTGCTAACAAGTGGAACAAAACTATGTAATCCTAAATCTAGATTGATGTCTTCCGGGAAGCCTGTTCACAGCCCCCCCCCCCCCCCCCCCCGTGTCACCAAAGGGGTCATTGGTGTTTTGATACTGTGAGGTTTTCGTATCACCGTCCTCTGTGTGTGGTGTGGTTTGAAGGGAGAGAATTGAAGATGTGCCTGGAGTCCTTTGTTGGTTTGGGGGAGGTTTGTGTACAATAGTGAGGATGTTAACACTGCTTTTGTTTGCTGTCGTCATCGAAACAGATCTCAAATTAAATAATTCTTAACAAAAACAGGCTTGCTTGCCCATTGTGCCAAAGGTCTGTGACTCCCAAGACTATGTTCGGCTGTTTCATTAATCATCTTAAATGTACGTCGTTAGTGCAGTTCCCACCACAGACTGAGGTCAGCCTCAACTGCATTTTGATGTTGTTTATCTTAGCAGAGGGGTTAGTCGGGGTGGGGGGGCGGGGGGGGGAGGGGGTGAGAGTGGGAAGTGATGACTGTCGACTATTTAATCCCAAACTGATGGTCTTGAAGTCAAATAGAGATTTTTTTTCTAGATTTTTTAGGATATGATGCCATTTTCAGTGATGTTAATACTTGTATTCTGGCCTTTTACTATTGATCCCGCTTTCCAACTTTTTTTCCCCTTAGTATTCTTGCTCCTCTTTGTTCCCTTTTCCCTTTTGAATGATCGTTTCCCCCACAAAATACACAGTCACTCCACTTTACAATATGTTCTGTGAAGTGCTTTGCGACGTCTCAATGACCTGATAAGGCTCTTTATCAATTGCAAGGATTATTATTATCTATTTATCCAGCGTCACTTGTAACGGAATCCACATCCTGATGAGTGTCAGTGAACTACTTTCCAACCCAAATCTTTCAACCGCATGTCCACTTTTATTTCCAGTAATGATTTGGTACATTGCTACCGCTATTGTTTTATCTGGTCTCCACTGATAGGAGTATTGTTCACATAAATACTATACCAAGTACTGTACTAATTTTGAGGCGGTCACGGATCTTTAGGGTGAAATCTGCACTGGTAGAGTCAAACATGATGCATACATGAGGGAGAAGGGAAAAAGGCGTTTGGATCTGAGGGCTGCTGATAGCTGTGGAGCCAGACTTGAGAGGGGAGACAACGTGCCACAACATTTTAAAGGAAGGAGTCTTGGTGGATGCAGCTTATCTGGTTTATTTCACTAACAGCACTGCTTAATGTACACTCCATTCACTACCTTCCTAAATTGCCACTCGTGTGTGAGTTTTGAACGGGAATGTGGATAAGCTTTTTGACTAGGGGCGGGGTGGGGAGAGCTCAGAATATTTTGTGCCTACAATAAGGAAACCCCTGCGCAGCGATTAGCACAAACCCTTCACGATTTCCTGAACCAGGCTTGACCATTGCAGTTATCCTTAATGCTTCTCGTGCCTCCACAAGGTTAGTTTAGTCATCAAAGTCTCCAGTCTAAGACCTTCCTAATCTATATGCTTCTGGTTTAACATTAAATTCTGCTGCTTATCTTAACATTAAGTTAAGCTAAGCACTGCCTGATACTGCCCGCATGAAAATGCAAGTTGTTGTCGTCGTCGTTGAATTATTTATTTCAGTGAATATGCTTACATTTTTCACCGTTTGAGTATTCATCCATTCTCCTTCTCTCCCCCCTCCCTCAGTTTCATAAGCTCATTAGGAGTCGGGTATCTGATGATCTGCAATGAAAACTATCCGAATGTCCTCGCTTTCTGTTTTTTGGACGAACTACAGCGAGAGTTCATCACCTCGTACGACACAAAGAGGATAAATGCCGCTGTCAGGCCTTATTCCTTCATAGAATTGGGTGAGCTCACTTCTAAGATCTATTCACTTCCATAAATTGAGTGTGTGGGAAAAGTAATGGTAATGTGTGTCTTCTAAGTGTAGGAATTACTGGAGGAAATGGACAATTTATTGCTGCGTTACTAGGACAGAGACTGATGCCTGGAAAACAACTTTCTTTACTGCTTCTACCCTGCCAGTTTTTTTTCCAAGTTTCTCTGCTCTCCTAAAAGCCTTTGACTCATTTTACCACCTTCCATTGAAGTTCGCAACCACAAACCCAGGTTGTCCTCTGATACCTTGCCCAAATAGCTTTTGGAGTATTGAGCCTTGACAGTGCATGTTGATGGGCTATTTCACAACACTGCAGCCAAAGACATAATAATAACGTGGTCACTCAGTCCACAACTGTGGGGCACTGCTGCGCGCAATTTCTGTTGCATTTCGCCTATAAAATATCCCCTCGATCCACTTTACAATATATTCTGTGAAGCGCCTTGAGACGTCTCGACAATGTGATAAGACACTGTATCAAATGCAAGGATTATTATTAAGTCTGATCCTGTTACAGTGCTGACAGAAATTTCATCTGGTCTCAACCTATTGTCTTAAAATGTAAGATGGTGCTGAATTTGATATAGTTCTTAAATTCAGTATTTATTTATAATCTGGTTTTCCGCAGCTCTTTTTAAGAACCAGCTTCCAAACATTAGAAAAATTTGCCTATTTCCTATTGTTTTTTACTAAACTACCTTTTCCCCACCCCACCCCCCTCGGCTCCCACCCCCAGCTCAGGTGCCCAGCCAGCATTTTGAGCGCTTTGAGACGTCCTTCCGATGTGAAAAGGGCGCTGTGTAAATGTTAAGTTTCAGGAAGGCAAACACAAAAATATTGCCCATGTGGCCATCAAGCGTTTCTGAAATGGGGCATCTGCCCCTCAGCAGCCAAAAGGTTGGAGCACTCTGGTTTAAATTATGGCAGATCTTTTTATTTTCTTCATATCCTTAAAAACCCTTACTTCCCAAATGCATCTCTCCTTGTTAACCATCCCAATTGATTCAATACATTCCACATCCACAAAACTTTTTATCACAGCTTCTTGCCTTGCCCTCTCTTAGATACGTCTTGGACAAGTAAAATCAGAAAGTTACCATCGTTACTGAGGGAGTATAAGGATGTATGAGGGGAAAGGGCAAAAACGTCCTCCGCTTAGCAACTTATCATCAAGTATTTGTTATTAGTTGTGTAAGTACTGTTGATTTTCAAACAATGTGTTTCCCTTTAAACCATAGATAATTTTATACAGAAAACCAAGCAGAGATACAACAGCCCCCGGTCCTTATCTACCAGGATAAACCTCGCTGATATGCAGACGGAGATCAAGCTAAGGCCATCCCATCAGCTAACGATGCTCGATCTCGGAACGGCGAATGGATCAGCCAATCTACCTTCTCCGCCGTACAAAGGAATCGGTAAGATACTATCCAGCTGTAGCCTCTAAAGTATATATTTTACTTCTGTGCTTGTCTAGTTTCATGCAACAGAACTGTGTTGAATGTGCATTACAAAATACTTCTGTGAAAGAGTTTACGGTAAAGCATCGTGCTTAGCCTTGTTTTAACAGTATACCATGCAGTTTTCTTCTCAGCGATGCTTTTGATCCTCAATATACCCCATGCACATCACATCACTCTGACTAGCTCACACTCCTGCTCTGAAACCAGATTGTCTCAGATGGAGTTTGCGCAGATCGCGTGACATACCCCCTTACACCCTCATCCCCCCCCCCCCCTTTTCTGGTTTCTTCTGCCCTGCCTTATCAGGTGTGTCTGCTCTTCAACCCATTGTCGCTTGCCCCCAATCCTATATTACCCTATTTCCTACCGTCTTCCCTTTTCATGCAAACAACGTGAATATAGTTGCAATTATTTAAAATAAATGAGTTATCAGTTGAACAAAGGAGATTTTAAGAGTTAAAATGTTTAGAGAGTAAGTCCGTGAGCTCAGGAGGAATTTTAGAATCAGGGCAGGTATTTAACGTGTCACAAAAGTGGCACGACACAGGTTTGGACCAGTAATTCCCTGCACATTGAGTCTCTTGAGCTGAGCTGTGGAGTGAGATGATGCCTTTGCCCCGGGGAAAGATAGAAAATCAAAGGTTCAGGTGTCCAGCACTGCTCTCGCGAATCTCTTAGTATGCGTCTGAAGGCTGTTGTTGACTGAAGATCTCATATACATCACCACCAACAACCATAACTTGCATTTATATAGCTCCTTTCATGTCCCGGAGTGCTGAATAGTGTTGGAGTCTGATATCAGGGCGATGTGAGGAAACTGCTTGAGGGGGAAGCAGAGAGAAAAAAAACTGTGCTTAACAATATAACATTTGCTTCTGGTACCACGCTTACTTGGCCAGGTGAATTGTACAAGTAAGATAAACGACGTTCAAGGCAATATGGACCGTTAAACATATGGGCTGAGGAGCCCCGGATAGATATTTGATAAAGGTAAGGGCAAGTGAGAGAACTTGGATTCGATTCCCGAGCAGGTTTTCCTTACTCTACACTCCTCTGGTTACCAACCAGTAAATAGGAACCCGGGGGTAATTATCCCTTCAATAAAAAGAGTTAATAATTTGGTCAATTAATCCATGACTGTTTGTGGGACACTGCTGCGTACAATTTGCTGCCACGTTTTGACCATAAAATATACAGTATATTCTGTGAAGCTCTTTGGGAAGTCTCAAATACGTGATAAGGAGCAATATCAAATGCAAGAATTATTATTAGTATTATAACACTGTCTGCAAAAAGGTGGTTTTAACTCAGGAATAAGACTTTGAACAGTACTTTACACTCTGTACTTAAAAGGTGCCATAAAAGTGCAGCTGCTGGAATTCAGAACTGGTCGGGCTGGAAAGGAATGTGACCCCAGATCTTTGTTGCCCTCTTCAGAAGAAAGAGGCCCTGTAGTTAATTCTCAGCGTGTGCAAACAGATAGGCATCAGTCGATATGGACTGTGAGCTGATCACCTGTGCTGGGTTCCACAGTGCCACTGAGATCAATCGGGTGGAGTGGGAATTGATAGCTTTAATCTGAAAATGATGTGGTCAGAGGCAAAATGGGTTTGCTCAGCTGGAGAGGGGGTGGGAGTGAATAACACGGCTGAAATCCATTCACCGTTTCAGTCAGCAACGCAGGTGGTGGATTGAACTGTAAATCCAACCACTGGACGAAGCACGGCCCATTAGTTCACTCAAAATGAAGTGGAGTCCTGTAGCTCAGTGGTTAGAGCACTCGCTTTGCAAGCGAGAGACCTGGGTTCAATTCCAGGCAGGTCAAAACCTTGGGCAAGTTTCCTTACTCCACACACCTAATAATAATCCCTCCAAAACAAAAGCAATAATAAATTGGTCATTTTTAATCCACGACTGTTTGTGGGACATTGCTGTGCGCAATTGGCTGCCGCGTTCACCCACAAATATACAGTCAATTCACTTTACAGTATATTCTGTGAAGCGCTTTGGGACGTCGAGAAAACGTGAAAAGCGCTATATCAAATGCCAGGATTATTATTATTAAAATAGAATAAAGAAACAGGTGCTGGATACGGTGTGTGTGTATTGCCGTCGCACTAACTATGTTTATTATCTAATAACTGATTCAAAGAGGGTACACAAAAATGGCTGTCCAGTTTGCTATGAAATGGTCACAATAATTGATGAGAGCATTTGATTTAGCACCTTATCACATTGTCGTGTTTTGAGACATTCTGACGTGATAAGGTGCAATAAAACAAAAGTTCTTTCCTCTCTCGACATAATTTACATTTAAGTGATTTTTTTTATAAGCTCAGCGAGGGTTTGGGGCAGAGGTGAAGTGAGCAAAATTGATCCCTCTGGGCAGAAATGCACCTCCGAGCAGCTGATTACAGAGCACTCTCACTTTGTGATGGTGAAGTCCGCAGATCAAGCTGTTCCGCCTCCCTCCCTCACTGAAAGAGAGCGTCTCAAGGACATTGTGGTGGAAAGTGAGAGAAAGTTTCAGAAATTCATAGACGGATGACCAGTTAAAGTGTATAAACAATGTTCATTGCAACCTGGAAGAGAGGGCAAGGCATAAAAATTTCATTGGGTGTTTGCAATGCTTTTTTTCCTCTCCCTTTTTTTTTCCTCGGTTGTAGGATGTTTGTTAGATGTTGATGAAAAATAATATTAAATTGGTCACTCAGTCCACGGCTGTTTGTGGGATGCTGCTGTGCTAAATTGACTGCAGCACTTCGCCAATAAAATACACAGTCAATTCACTTTACAGTATATTCTGTGAAGCGCTTTGAGACATCTCGAAGACATGATAAGGCGCTATATCAAGTGTAAGGATTGTTATTTGTGAGAATCATCATGAGTTGCAGAACACTTTTTCAGCGTAGAATACAGTCGAGTTGGAGACAAAGGGATGTGAAATGCCTTTCAGAAGCTTTTAACCAGAACAGATAGAACAGCGAATAGAAAAATACCACAGGCATGGTCTTGTATGTTTAGATTCTAAGAAATTCAACAACTTTCGTTCTAAGTCGGGAATTCACACAAGTATAATAAACCGGGTCACTGCTGAAATGGAAGGTAAGAGACAGAAACAAACCAACTAACCCCCAAGTCCTCAATGGGTCACCTTTTTGCACGGCCTGTTCTTTATGCATCAGTAACTTTAGATGCACTCACTCATCCGTCAGGGATTCTACATTGACTAATTCAGAATTCACTGACTCCATTGTCCCATCCTATGTTGCGGACTTTGAAACTATCAATTCCTCCTTTCAGCCAACTTCTCATTCGCACCTGCCTCTAGATAGGATTCATGACCCGGTTTACCTTCTGAGTAAAGTAACGGCACAGTTTGTACTGTAGAAGCAAATTGAGATTAGATGGGTCTGAACTAATCTAGTCACACATACATGGTTGATTTGTATCAGGAAGCATTGTTCTTCTGATTATGCCAAGATCCAGATCCAAGCATCTCTAGGAAGGATTTTCTGCTGTGTTTACAGTTTTCCTATTCCTACTTTGGGAGTTTGCTGAAATAAAGGAAGATTGTGCATTTTTATAGCTGCTTATCACACAAAACGCCTCAAAGGACTTTACGATAATGTGGAGTAAAGTGACTGTTTTGTAGGAAAACAGAGCAGCCAATTTGAGCACGTAAGCAAGGTTCACAGACAACTGTGAGACAAATGACCACTTTATTTGGAGGTTCTTTGGCCAGGGCAATGGAAAAATGCTTCCTTCTTTTGAAGAGTGTTACGGGGTCTCCAATTAAAGTATGTGAAAAACGGCTCTTGGTTTAATGTTTCATCTCAAGGACAGCACCTCCAACAATACAGCGTTTTCCCAGTACCCGAGTGTTGGTGAGCTCTAACATCAACATCCCGCATTGAGGCATGAGCCCTTAGGCTTCTCACTCAGAGACAGGTATGACCACAAATTATGACAGCGACATCTCAGAACAAAAACCTTGGCCCTCCTGCTTTTGCATTTCCGTCATTTACAATCTCTCCAGAGCTGCATTTGCAGAATTTATTTGAGTAAAAAAAATGTTTTTTAAGTTTAAAAACGAATGAGTGGAACAGAGCGGTGGGTCACATTTGCCAACCTCTGACCGTACCTCACTCCCAAAGCAGCCGCACAGAGCTGTAGATTTTCCATCGGGGCTCCATCCATTTTTAGCAGAACTGGAATAAATAGAACTCGTCAGAAGGGTTTTTGTGACTTTTCTGGGATTCCAAATGCTGCTTTGATTCCTCTCACGGCTTTTCACTGCCAACGAGCAATCAGTCTTTATTGTGCATTTCACTTCTTGGAATACATTTGAATTTATTATTTGCAGTTGTTTGATCCCAGTTGTTACAAGAGCAATTTCTGAGGTGACCTCATCACATTGTAGCGTTTAATTGAACGAGCTGTCTGATTCAGCATCGCAGGCTTTTGGCTGCTTGCTTTCTCCCCTCCTCCTCCTCTCCCTCCCCCAATTCAAATGGAGATTTCAGGCTGTTGTGTGGACCGGATTGCTTCAAATCTATGAAGTGCCTTGTGTAGGGGAAGCGGTGAGGTGGTGTGTATAACACATGGGCCATTGTGTTAGATGGCAGTATTACACAGATCTCCAAGGCAACGTGGATACAAGCACTGCACTACATCTCTCGAGGACCTGTCTGCATATTCAGGTGGATGTTAAAGATCCTGTGTTGGTTCCTCAACAAACACTGGTATCAGTTTTATGTAAATTCTTTAAAATGGCGATGTTCAATGTGAAGATTATAACTCTTGTTAATTATCACTTCCGTAGAATTTTCCTACGGATGTCCCAGTGTATGATTAGCTATGGTTGAACATCACGACTCTTATTCCCCTCGTACTTCACAATTTGGTGGAGCCATTGGATCTGCATCTCCCCCTTCCCCCCACATACCCCTCCACCCCCCACACCAACCATAGTTTGCTCCATCTCAGTGTCAGCACTCCGGTTTGATTCAACTGTTGAACTCTTTGACTGGAACATCGCCAGATTGAAAATTTCACTAACGTGATGATTAACACCAGTGGTAACTACCCCAGATTCTTAGCAACAAGTATTCCTCTACTCACACCTTCTGTGTTTCTTGTTCCTGCAGCTCCAAACCAACGACTAGAGCCAGTGACACTGCCAGGAATCATAGCCTGTTTATTAAGTCTGCTGTGTGGGGCTTTAAATCTAATCCGTGCGTTTCACGCCATGGAAAATATATTTCAGGTGAGATCCGTCTACAGTCTGTAACATTTCCACAGCAGCACACAGTAATAATCATAAATCATACATGTTTTTGTCAGTGTTTTAGATCTCTCTTCCCAAACCACTTTATCCTCACTCTCTCTCGTCTCCCTCTCTCTCTCCCTCTGTCTTCCACTCTCTCTCACTATCCCTCTCCCTCTCTCTTCCACTCTTTCTCTCTTCAATAACCTACTGAAAACAAATTGTTGACAGTGCTTTAGGTCAATATTGTATAATCTCTCATGTCCCTACTCGGTCAGTGTTCCCTGCAGTTTGTCAAGAGGCAGCACCCGAGGTTAACTCGGTTTGGAATGTATTCCAGGACAGTAATAAGTCTTTGAGTTAAGATAATGCAAACTGCAGCAATGAAGTTTAGCACACTCTCCAACCCAGTCGAGCACGCTACTCCAGTAGAGTCCGTTACGCCTTAAAATAAGTGTAATCTAACATTCCTTGACGTGTACGTCTTTGACTTCTTTGAGTAGTTTTGCTGATACAGATGTAGCAAACAGACAGACAGGTCAGCAGCTCCTGCATCGTTTTGAGCAGAAATTGAATTGTACATAATTTGAATAGCAGTGAATTTAGGAGTTAACTCATTGCAGGTTGGATATGCCATTACATTTTACTACATACTTCTTTACCAGTCAAGTTTAAAGCACTGTTAGTAAATTGATCACACAGCATGCAAGCGAGAGGACCCTGGCTTGATTCCCGGGTGGGGTGAAACCTTTGCCAAGTTTCCTTACTTCAAACGCCTCTGTTTGCCTAACACTCAAGAGGAACTGGTTGTTAGTCGATTGGTGGATCGCTTTCCAAGAGTAATAATCCCTTTGAAAAAATAAATAATAATTTTGGTCACTCAATCCACAATTGGCTGCCGTATCTTGGCATTAAATATAGTCAATTCACTTTACAGTACATTATGTGAAGCGCATTGAGACGTTTCAACGATGTGATATGGCACTATATCAAATGCAAGGATTATTATAATATTAAATATGGAATCTGGAATCAGATCACGGTGATTCTGCGGAATTTCCTTCGACGTAATCTAGTTTGGGAGCTAAAAGTTTACCGTGGGAGTCCCAGGCTTCTTATGAAATCAGGCTTGAAAATGAAAGTTTTAGATTACTATATAAGTAGAATATTTGCATATAAGGACATACAACCATAGCACGTTTTACAATGGTCCTGTCAATTCGCATTGCTTTACAAATGCACAGTGAACGGATCAGTGACATCAAGAAGTCGATTCAGTTGAATATTACATAACGGCTGAGTTCAATTCAATATATACAAAAGTGTTGATGTTTTGAATGTTTTCAATGCAATCTTTCCCCAGAGTTAGCCTCGGGGGGGGATTGCTCGCTGTCCAATAAATTCAGCAAGTGCATTTAATGAATAACATTGCAAATGAAATATGTGCAGAATAAATCTTAAGATCTCAACAAAACCAGAAGATGCTGGAAATGCACAACAAGCCTAACTGCTCCTGAATGAGAAAGAAAGGTTAACAATTTTTTTGTGGGGGTGAAGACCCATAGTATAATAATAATCCTTGCATTTGACATGGGCATTTGAAATACCTCCCAAGCACTTTGCAGATAATTGCTGTTGAATGTAGTGACTGGAGATGAACAACAACAACAACAAGGTTCCATTTATTGAGCGCCTTTCACGTCAGGAGGAAGTCCCAAAGCGCTGTACAGTTGGGTCAGGACCCGAACAGTGGGGGGAAATGGTCAGGGTGAGGGAAGGGAAGGGAGGGAGCGAGGAGGGGGTAGAGAGTCGAGAGGGGAGCTGAAGGCACGGTCAAAGAGAAAGGTCTTGAGACCGGCCTTGAAGGAGGAAAGGGAGGAGGCGGCGAAGGCACTGAGGATTCCAGAGCCTCGGGGCTGAGAGGCTGAAGGCCACCGATGGTAGGGCAGTTGGGGCGGGGGATGTGGAGCAGAGCGGAGCCAGAGGAATGGAGGGTACGGGCAGGTAGGTAGGTAGGGGGATAGTAGGTCGGAGAGGTAGGAGGGAGGGAGGCCGTGAATGGGCTTGTAGGTGAGGATGAGGATCTTGAATTTGAATGACATTTTGAATGGCAGGTTTAAAGACGTTTGCAAATTAACTATCAGAATTAGAGGTGTAAATTAGAACAACAACAAATTACTCTTGTATAACGTCTTTCATGTTGGGAGGACGTTTCAATAATACCCTTATGGAAAACATTAATGCAACAACAACAACTTACAGTTACACAGAGTCTTTCACCTCGGGAGGACGTCCCAAGGCGCTGGACAGTCAAAGATGTGCACCTGAGCTGAGGGTCGGGAACAGGAGGGGTGGAGGGTAGGGATAGGAGGGTGATCAAAGGCGTGGTTGAAGAGGAAGGTCTTGAGACAGGCCTTAATAGAATTAAATTTAAAGTGGTTGTAAATATTAGCATTAATGGCATTAAAAGTGAAATATGGTAACAGTAAGCAATAAGAATGATTCACAAAGGTAAATGGTGCTAGGAATGGAGTGGCGTGATCGATAAAGGATGATTTCACAGCTGTTGAGAAGATCAATGCATTAGCAAAAGGTTAACCAGCACAAGAAGATGAGTGGAAGTGAGGGCAACAAAGTCATTAGCAACTTCTCAGTCTAGCAAACAAGTGGATAGTGCTGTTTAGGCAAGTGCAGGAGGCTGGAAGTTGTCATGGAAGTGGGTGAGCACGCACTTTGGCTCCAGCTATATATGTATATGGTGTCCACAAAGGCCTGTTAGCCCATGTTGCAAAACAACGATATGATACAGTACTACAGAGGAGCTGAATCAAGCTGGCGGAGGTGCATTTGCCTCATTGCTCCATGCATGTTCCAGACATCAACCAATTCAGCACAGGCTTTGCATTGAACCATTCCAAACCATAAGGCTGTTTCCCTCTGCTTTCCACGGATACAGAAACCGTACCTTAAGACTGCGGAGCAACAGAGACCGCTATAGTAAAAATGTGTTGACAAGTCAAATCTAACATTAGAAGTGGGGGTGGGGGAAAGTGCCCAAGTGCAGAGGCCCAGAAACAGTCGGCATAGATCTCGAAGCAGCGTTTCATGCCTCACTGATCTGCAGGAATTCTTTGTGGAGGTAAGTGAACCAGTGATTGAAGCCTCTCCCTTGGATGCCAGTCTGCTTGGATTTTCCGAATGCATTTAATGAAGTTCCAATTATAAGGCTTATAAAGAAGATTAAGGCTGGGGAAATTACTGGCAAATTAGCTAATTGGATTGGAAACCCGTTTAACAGCGGGTAAATGGCGAATGCTTTGACAGGAGGCAGCGACCAGTGAAGTTGTGCAAAGAGTGGGTTCGGCGTTTCACAATGTTGATGCATTCTACGCAAAGAATGGTGGTATTTTGCCATTCGAGCATTGACTGACAAGAACAGACCCACAGGTAGTTTCAAGGGAGATTGATAGTACAGTATTTAAAGATTGACATCGTTTAAAGAGATCTGGACCGGCTAATGGAGTATGGAATGTGAAGTTGTGCGTCTTGAATCCCGTGCACAGTAAAGCCAAGTGAGCTGTTGAAGGTGAAAGAAAAAAAAGAATCTGGGTCTGATTATACCAGCCGCAGAAATATTTGGTCAATGTGCAGCTGTCATTACCGGGCTAATCGTGTGTTCTGGGATGTATCCTAAGGGCAATTGAATGCAAGTCAAAACAAGTTGTTCGTTCTTATATTGTATAGATAATTAGTGCAGCTGATATTGGAATGCCAGGTATGCTGTTTCAAAAAGAAAATGGAACTTTTTCTCCCAATAATCCTTCTGACCAAAATTCAACTGGAAATGCTAATTGATTAGTTACTCATCTTGTTGTTTATCTGTCGTTCTTGGTTGTAAATTAGCTGCTGCGTTTGACTCCCCGACAAAATTCACTTCCTTCATTTTCAATTCATGTCATCCATGAATGTTTTGAATAAGCGCGGAATAGCACGGAGTAAGGTTGGGAGTGGAAGCTTCTGAAATGCTTTGGAAATTGCCAGAATCAGTGGAGGCACAGAGTTGTGGATGGGGCCTCGTGGCAATGAACGAAGACATGAGGAAAGGATGCCACGAGAGGGCATCATTGCCAGAGCTATAATTACTGCACAATAATGATCTGTAGCAGAATGGGCTGTTGGGCCAAATAAATTGGGTTCCTAAATGCCTATGTAATTTAGTAAAGTATTCTGTCAAAGGGGTGAATAAGCTCGATGAGCCAAATGGCCTCAACTCATTTGGTCCATATGTTTTGTGAAAAGGCTGTTTTTTGTCATGCACAGTGTTGGTCTTTGGCGGACTGAGCACACGTTAACTAGACTTGGAGGAAAATTATCTGGAACGAAAGGGGGTGAGACAGCTGTCAGCGTTGGCAAGCCAGACCTGCAAAACATGGCTGGTAGAAAATAGTTTGCTGTTGTGTGCAGTCATGTTTTGTTCAATGCTTAATTACCATTGTATACGTGCATAAGTTACTGTGTGTATAAAATTATCATATATCTCACCATCCTCAAGTGACAGCTCCCACATACCTGTGCAACTTGGACCTTTGGCACATCAAGATGATTGGCACATGGCAAGTTGCCCTGTAGACGTCCTTCCACCTGAAGGCAGATGGCTGTTGAATAGCTAATGAGACAGCTCTAAGGCTTAGGTGGAAGGCATTGCCTTGTGTCCGTGTCCATAGACATATGATCATATTAGTCTTGCACTTCCACTCGACTAACTCAGGTTTGCTGTTATTCCCCACACTCTGTGCCACCATCGATGGCCAGGTTTTAAGACTTTGTGCCCAGGAGTTGCTGGAACCTGCTACAAGTAGTCAGGCCTTAAATCTGCACCTCTCAGGTGCCCCCTCTTCGCACCTGTAGACTTTCCTCTTCGACTGAGTAGGTCAGGCATGATGGGCCAAATGGCCTTCTTCTTTGCTGTAAGATTCTATTATTCTAGTTACATGCTGTTTTACACAACTGATTTTCTGTCAGCTTTTCATCTTCAGCACTTAGAAAAACTACTAATTGTGCAGCACAGTGCTTATCCATCCAGTTTACATTGCCCTTCCTACTAATAGCGTTGCAGTTCCTTTCAACATCGATCTGAATAGACCTGGGTCCACTCTCTCAACCAAAGGAAGGCACCTTGAATAATGAAGATCGCTCCTGCTCTTCCCTCCCCACCAAGAGTCAGCATAGACTGTGAGTCCAATAAACATGTAACCTTCTAACCCAGAGGAGAAGAGTGGTAGGATTTACTGTGTATCCCATCATACTGCAGTGTCAGTCTAGATTGGGCAGGTCCCCAACAAGGGGTGTATACAAATAATCTATTCGCTCTTGCCATGGAATCTAATTTGACCTAATTCTCAGACGCTGTGCCCTGGAAAGGTTTTGCTCATTGGACTGACACATTCGAGTTAATTCTGCAGCTGTATGGAGTGAGTGAGTCTTGCTGCGAGGAATAATGGTTTAATTATGCGTTAGATAGTGATAGGAGGCCCTCTGCTGGTCCAAATACCATCTTCAGTTTATTGGTAGCGCAAAGATTCGTAATGGTTGATGTGCAAATTCAACTCGTTATTTAGTCTTCATTTGGACACGTGTTTTTTTAAACCGGATATTCAAGACTCCGTGTTGGAGGGGGAGCTGTGTGATTTTTGCTAGTGTGATCATACTTCGGCACAGACTTTCATGAAATTGGTGGAATTTGGAAGTGTGATTTTAAAAGAAGTGACGATATAGATACTCTTTGATATGAACAGGAGCATTGGAATTATATGGGATTGTAATATTATTGTTATACAAAATGTACACTCAGTCCATTTTGCAGTGTATCCTGTGAAGCGCTTTCGAGACGTCTAAACGACGTGATCAAATGCAAGGATTGTTATTATTGTTCATAAACCAGAATAGCTTGGGGAGAATGCGGCAGTGTGAAGACAAAATGGTTTGATGCTTCAGTTTGACAAACACAGTGTTGCTTTTCTGCCAACAGGATAACGAGGACACATTGAACAATGTCGTTGCGTTTTTCCTCGGTACTGGTGCTTGCCTATATCAGGTAAGTCACCAGGCTGTCAACACCTAATTTCAACTAGAGTTGACGCCAATATTGATTAGAGCACTCGCCTCGCAAGTGAGAGGACCCGGGTTTGATTCCAGCCAGAGTGAAACCATAGGAAAGTTTCCTCACTTCACACCACTCTGTTTACCTAGCAGTTATTAGGAACCCGGTTATTAAGTCGATTGGCGGATTGCTTTCCGGGGGGGAATAATTCCTTTTAAAAAAAATTGGGTCACTCAATCCATGACTGTTTGTGGGACACTGTTGTGCACAAAATATCCAGTCAATTCACTTTACAGTGTATTCTGTGATGTGCTTTGAGACGACTCAATGACGTGAGGATTATTATTTTGATGTGGCCATATTCATGACCCAGGTGGACAACTTTAAAGAGCTCAATTAAAACAACAATCCCACTTCCCTTTAATCATATATTCATCTCAGAAGGAAAATTCCCCTGGAATCGCTTCATAGTTGGAGCATTGAACCGAATTCCCATCTATCTGTTCCGTGGGTGCCGGTAGATGTTAAAGATCTCCCTGTGCTATTTTGTAGGAGAGCAAGGAGATTCTCTCACCGACACTCCTCCCTCATCAAAACACACCACTAACGGATGAATTGGTTGATCATCTTATGACTGCTGTGTAGCATGTTGTGTTAGCAGATAACAGAGGGTTGGCATATGGTTCAGTGTGTCGAACATGGCCCAACATGTGGTACAGTGTGGCACCGGCTATTGGAGCGACAGCAGATCATGTCGCCATGTGGCGCAGCACGCTGGAATGTGGAATGTGGCACAGCGTGTTGGAACTTTAATCACAGCATTGGGGTTTGCAAATACGTCACTCTTTGTTTTTTGTTCATAAACGACATTCAGTCTTAGGTGTTAAATTCAATTTAAATTCTGTAGATTGCATTGGCCAGTTTTAAGATGGTTTTAAGTGGATTGGTTAAAGCGCTCGCCTCACAAGCGAGAGGACCCGGATTCGATTCCCAGGCAGGGCGAAATCTCAGACAAGTTTCCTTACTCCATACGCCTCTGTTTACCTAACACTAAGTAGGAACGTGGTTGTTAGCCGATTGGCGGATCCCTTTCCGGGGGTAATAATCCCTTTAAAAAACAAAGAAATGATTTGGTCACTCAATCCACGTCTGTTTATGACACTGCTGTGCGCAATTGGCTGCCGCGTTTCACCCACAAAATAGTCAATTTGTTTCATAGTATATTCTATAAATTGTTTTGAGACGTCTCGAAGATTGTGATCAGCTGCTATATTAAATGCAAGCATTATTATAAGATGGTGTCCTATTTTTAAAACATTTTTCTTTTTTCTCTCCCCAGTGTTACTTGCTTGTGAGCTGCAGCGGATGGAGGAATCTGAAGTCCTTCCTGATGTTTGGCTTGATCTGCCTGTGTAATTTATACGTGCACGAACTCCGTAATCTCTGGCAGATTCTATTCCACGTGACCACAGCCGCATTCACCACGCTCCAGACACGACTGAGACAGCCCCAAGGAAAAGCTCCCGATTACAATGTCTGAGAGGGCGATCGGAAGAAAATATCTTTTTTTTGTTGCTGAGGTGATTTCCATTCTGCGGGAAACGCAGGATGTTTCTGGCCGTGAATTCGTTTTTGTTTTTTTAAAAATTAATAATAAAAGTACCAAATGGAATACTTGAAATCGTAACCAAATCATCGAGCAACATCAAGCAACCAAAAGCTGACGGTTTGAAGCGGGACTTTGATAATCAAAGTTGTGAAGATGGTTCTGTCCATCGGCCCTTTAGACTTTCACCGATGCAATACGTTTATAGGCCTTTTAACTTAGGGTTTTCTTTTGATAAAATCCTGATTAATTTGTGCGTGGCAAATGTCCGATTCAAAATGTTACTTGACGTTATTCTTTCTTTGTTTCTCTCCTGATTTCTCCTTGCAAAGGGTTGTTCTCCCTCTTATCTCCAGACAGACGGTGGCCAGACACAATAGGATACAGTTCTGCAGGCGCTGGCAGCTGGTGTGTTTGTTATCAACAGGAGAAGTCGGCAGGCTATTTGGTCACAGAAGGCATCACAATCTGAGCTCGATCCTATCCTCGTCTGGCTGCCAAGTGTGCAATCTTCCCATCAGACCTGACTGCAGTGGAGCCCTAGCTGACTTTACACTATATTTATGCTGTCAGCTTGCTCAGTTGGTGTCTGCCATCTTGGGCAAGGTCGAAAAGTCAAGGGTTTGAGCCCCTTCGAGCTCATAGTCCAGTCTAACCTTCCAGTCCAGTACTGAAGGACTGCTGAGTTTCAATCCTCTGGATGAAACGTTCAGCCGAGTCCCGTCTGCCTGCTCAGATGGATGATAAAGATCATTATTCGAGAAGAGATGGGAGTTTCTCTCATTGTCCTGACAAATAATTCTGAAAATAAATTGCTTATTTGCTTCATTGTGACCTGGAGGATATTGCTGGATCCCAAACAAATTGCCAAATTTGACTACAAATACATAATTGCTACACTTCACAGCAATTACCTGTGCAATGCTAGACATTTTGGTGTTAGATACTGTACTAATAATAATCCTTGTATTTGCTATAGAGCTTTGCATATCATGGGCATGTTTCACAGCGCTTCACAAGATATACTGTAAAGTGTAGTGAATGTCGATTTTTTTTTTAAGTGTTAAATCAATCGCAAGGATTATTATGTAAGATTTTCTTTCTTATTCAGCACTCTCCCCGAACTAACCCTCACCCAAACCAAAAGCGACCGTCCTCAGCTAGGCTGCTGGAGGTTGAACAAGAGTGTTTTTAAGTTTACCGTTTTGAGGGCAGGAGGAAAGAGTCCTCATGTGTCCTGTATGTAAGTGCATTGATGTTCACTGAAGAAATTCCTGGAGCACTTTGTCCTGAGTTTGAGAATTCACTTTGTGACTAATAATGGGAGCTCGATCTCAGGTCTAAAATGCCTCCTAGCCTCGGGGCCACTTTGCCTTATAATTAGAAAGATGGTGCAAAACATTTTGAGAAATTCACCCTCTATTTGAAAGCTGTCTCTTCAAAAGCCCTCTAGAAAACCGGCTTCCAAATTCAGCCCAAATTTATAACGATGCTAAAGTTCTGCACCACCTTAAATTTATGAAATGATTTGAAGGCTATAACAGAACTCTCGTTTGAATCCCATCACTTTGTGTCAGTATCAGTGAAACAGCAAAGGTGTATAGAATAAACCCAGTTAAGTTTTCCGAGGTGGACAGATTGAGCTATGTTGCTGTTTTATGTATATATGTACACACACACACACACACAATGTAAAACCTATTGAAAGGACAAAGAAGATGTGACTAACTAGTGATCCCATCTTTATCCTTTCAATGTAAAATGTAAAGCTGCCTCTTTATTGCAAATTTAGTCAAGAGTTTTGTGCAATTGTCCAAGAATTTCAGTGTGAGCTCGAGTGTTTGCTGCAAGTGTTGCATTTAATACTCTGCCATTTCAGAATGTAATAAATGTTTTGCCCACAAAATATACAGTCGATTCACTTTACAGTATATTCTGTGAAGTGCTCTGAGATGTCTCAACAACTTAGTAAGGGGCTACATCAAATGCAAGGATTATTGCAATAAGGGTGATCTTTCAGTGTCCTCATCCAAATTCACCCCTCAAAAAAAATTGATTGGCTTGTCATCTCTTTGTGAGACAAAGCTGGTGCCTACATAAGAACAGTCACTAAACTTCATAGTAGCTTCATTTTGTGAAGCTCCTGATGAGGCATTGTATCAAACACAAGGATTATAGTATTGGAGAGCTCCAAATGACAGTATAAAATACCAAACAGTTATGTGACCAAATTTATTTGGATGCAGCCATAAAAGAAGCAGTACTGAGCTTGCAGAGGTCAGGGCAGTCAGCATTCAAATGAGAAAGAAAGATGGATCAATGTTTTATATGTTTCATCACAAACGAGGTTGGGTTGCACCCAAGCAGGTCAACCTATCTCTTTGTTTTAACTTCAGTTCACTGTGACTTCAAAGCTTTGGGATCATTATTCAGATTTATTCCAAATTGACAGGAAATTTTTTTTATGTTCAAGTAGAGTAGTGGTGCAACCTGACTTTGGGATTGAGTATGTGGCAAAAAATAAAATGTAGATTAAATTAGGTGGTCGAAAACCAGAGGAACTATATTGAGTACCAATGATATGTATGCTTTGAATGACTTACATTATAAATCATTCGAGATTTAGATTTGTAGTGTTTTTTTGCACATTGGAAGCCCTGGAGTGTATTAACAGCTTTGTTACATACCAATAGCCATCTGTTCTACCCAGGCAACACTGCCAAAACACTATGTCAATCTGTCCCAAAGCCAAATCTTCCACCTCCCAGAATTGCCAGAAGTAATTCAGCTTTTGGCTGTATAAATAATCTTGAGGTGTCACATAAACAAATTGAATGCTCAAAGGTACATTACTGCAGTTGCATCTAAATTTCCATTTCACAGAAGCTACGTAAGATGGAAAAATGGTTGTTAGTCTTTTGATGTTCTGCTTTGCAATACCAACAGTAATGTTCTTAGCAGTAATAGTTACCCGGTTGTTAGTCGATTGGCGGATCACTTTTCCGGGGGTAATAATCCCTTTTAAAAAATATAATAATTTGGTCACTTAATCCATGACTGTTTGTGGGATGCTGTTGTGGCCAATTGGCTGCCGCGATTCGCCCACAAAATATACAGTCAATTCACTTTACATTATTTTCTGTGATGCCCTTTGAGAGTCTTAATGATAAGACGCTATATCAAATGAAAGAATTATTATTTTACCTCAGTCACCGTGAACAACACATCGCTGGATTTATTATTCATTTTAAAATACTGCCTTTTCAAAGTCTGTTTTTTACTTCAGGTTTGAGTAGGTTTGGGGGGGAAGTACAAATGAACAATGTTGGCAACTCACACAGTGTAATTTGCATTCTAGATTATTGCTTGGTGTAAAGTGCTATTTTTCTGCATCATTTATGCGACTGGGAAAATAATGTGCGCACTAGCAAGCCAGCGTATCTGTTGATGGATGGTGCCTGCATTGCTCATATGTTTTCCTCTACTAATAAATATGAAGGTTTTAATAAAATGTTCTGAGGTTCAGGGGAAGGTTGGAAGACTTTTCACACAGATTGTGATCAGAATATGAAATGCTTTGCGGCGATTAACATTTGAGAAGGAATTGAAATAAACATTCAAAGAATACGTACGGAGTGGAGTTAGCTCAGCTGGTAGCCTTCTCATCTCTGGGTCAGAAGGTTGTGGGTTCGAGCCTCAGATTAGGCGTCAGCGCTTAAAGTCTAGCAGTCATGTAGCGTATTGGTTAGAGCGCTCGCCTCGCAAGCGAGAGGACCTGGGTTCGATTCCCGGGTAGGACAAAATGTTAGGCAAGTTTCCTTACTCCTCGCCCGTCTGTTCACGCAGTAAGAGGGAACCCGGGTTGTCAAGTCAATTGGTGAACCGCTTTCCTGGGGTTAATAAACCCTCCAAGAAAAAATAAAAGTTTGGTCACTCAATCCACGACTGTCTGTGCGACGCTGCTGTGCCCAATTGGCTGCTGCGTTTCTCCCACAAAATACAGTCAATTCACTCGACAGTATATTCCGTGAAGCATTTTGAGACTTCTCAAAGTCGTGATAAGGCGCTGTATCAAATGCAAGGATTATTATTATAAACCGAGGCCCTAAAGAACCGTGGACCTTAAAATATCCCACACATCATTCAAAGAGTGGAGGGAGTTTTTTTTTGATATTGTGATAATGCTTTTATTACTATTAATAATAGTAGATTAATAACAGTAAGAGGAAAGAGCAGTGAATTTCTGTGATTCTTTTCTGGCGATACAGGACTGCGGTGTTTGTGGCTTCATAACCCAGAATTTTGCATATCCCAACTCCTCTGCTGAGCTAACGTTCCTTTGCGACTTGTTAATTTGATGGCCTGGTTGACATCTGGATTCCTCAATTAAATCTGCCCACAATCCTAAATGATAATGTGCTCCTAAGTGTGGGGAAATTAAGTTGAGTATGAGATCTTCACTTCATTATAATATGAACCGGTATTTCTACTCCCCATCAATTTAGTTATATTCCCTCACTCCCACAACACTCCTGGCCTCGGTATCTGTTTCAATATAGACAAAACTAATGTGACATGGGATATGTATGACACATCACATACCACACAGCCTTCCCCATCCACAGTCTCACACTGTTTTCCCGGTTAAATGAACTGTTACTAACAAATCTATTCATTTAACAATCAAAGAGCATACGAATAGCAGAGGGAATCGGGAATAGAGTAGACGACTTCAATGTTGAACCATCTAAGGGACTCTTGATATTATTTCTGATTCTGTAATGAATTCCCTTCCCTAGAACTGTTTTTTTATTAACTGATGGGACTTAGATTGATTGGACATACTGCTGTTATACTGTTATACTTGCTGGATGCACTTGGAATTCCTCGCTTTAAAAGAGTAATGTTTATCCCACTATATATGGCAAAGAAATAGGTCGGTAGTTCTCAAGGTCACATTTCTGACCTCAAAGATTGGAATGACATTGGTTATTTTTCCAGTGTCTGTTTCCAATATTTCTACAATCTTCCTGGACTGGATGCTTTAATCTTCAAGTGGGTCTAGTTTGTCTGAAGACTAATTGTTTCAAACGCCTCTTGTTGCACATTTTGACGTGTAGGCGCTGGTCAACTGTTGACTTGAGAAGCATTTAACTTGAAAGCCAAATTTCAATCATGTCCTAAATGGTTATGCATTTTTTTTGGGGGGTCAGCCGGGTGTCTTGACACACGCAGAAACCCATCACCGTGCATAGGAGTCTCCAAACCAAGCTGAGAATTCCCTGCATCCCCCCCCCCCGACACATTACCTAATTCCGGGAAGTGTTAGGCGCAGGTTGGCAAGAGCCAAGGCCCGGGGGACCCCAGAGTGTGCGTCGGGGTAACTGCGAGAGTCCAATCAGCTGAAACCGCATAGCTTGCCGTTGATATCGCCGTCCGGCCAGCTTTCCCGCTGCTTGTCCGGCTGGAACCATGTCCCAACCAAAAGGTATGCTGACCGTTGAAAAGTTATCCTATTTGGTAAAACGTTCAATTGATTTGCGGAGAAAAGAGCAATAAAGTTGACGTATCCGCCTTTCCATTTTCATGTAATTCCAATCAATGTGCGCAAACGTAAAACTATTCCGAGTGGGGCGCGCGGGGGGGGGGGGAGGGAGGGATAAAAGAGTCAATAAATTAGAAAGTGCTAAAGGAACCGGAAGCAATTAGATCTGCTGGAGATGCAAGTGCTGCTTAAAACGACCGGAAATTAAAAAAAATTTTTTCCTTTGATTTCACAAAGCACGTCTCTTGTCTTCATCAGCGGCGCTTTGAAGCCGCAATGCATCAAAGTGATTGGTGTCGGCCCCTGCGAATGAACGTTACAAACACGTGAGTCAGGGGCCACATATTGTGCAACGGGATGATATTTCCCAAGAAAGGATATCGTTTCTCGCCGCGGAAAAGACAAATTAATAACGTCCGGCGCCACGAATGGAATATTAATAGAATCGTAAGCGCGGCAAACTTGGTACGTTATCGAGGCGAGTGAATCGAATCGAACGCCTCGTGACAGAGAGAGAGAGCGAGAGAGAGAGTGGAGACGGAAAGAGGTCGTCACAAACTCGGCGGCTCGAGGTGTGGCTGGGTTCGGGCGTCTCGTCTGCGGGGGGACGTCTGCGGGGACGTCTGCGGGGGACGTCGCCGCCGCCGCCGCGCTTCGGCCGCCAAGTGCGCAGCCGCCGCGCTCCTTTCACGGCGCGCCCCTGCCCTCGGGACGCTGCCCAGACCGTCTCGGCCGCGCGGCGCGGCGCGGCGCGGCGTCAAAAATGCAAGGGTCAAGCCGACGATCCGGCCGGGTCAAAGGACGGGCGCTCGAGGATCGAGTCACCCTCCCGGACCGGCCGCGGTGTCCCAGTCCAGTCCCGAGGCCGTCGCAAATCACCGGGTGGGGGGGGGGGGCTGACCCGAGTCGCACCGGCAAACGCTTCGCTCTCGCCGGCCGCGATGGTGTGACGCGATGCGCTTTTTTTTCCCCACTCCCCCCCACCCACCACCTCTCCCGGGAACCCACACGTTCGGAACATAAAATAAGATGCGACCGCAAAAGGCGGTCAATTCAACTCGAGTTCGATTCGAGACGTCTCGAAGACGCTGCGGTCGAATATATACATCATACGGTTATTACGATCAAATATATAAGATGACCCTTAAACATATATAAGGTGTCCCCACAGGATAACTCACACAATCAAACCCTTGTGACGGTTGGTGCGGAGGCGGGAGTCGGGGTTTAAATCGGCAAACGACGGTTGCAGACGGCGCGTGGTCCGGGTCACGTGCTCGGCCACGGCCGCCATTTTACCCCGAGCGCCGCCCCGCGTCCGCCAGTGTCCTGTCCCCCGCACTCCCCTCACCCGCACCCGCACACTCCCCCTCACCCGCACCCTCCCGGCCTCGCCCGCACACTCCCCCTCACCCGCACACTCCCCCTCACCCGCACGCTCCCCGCCTCGCCCGCACCGCACACTCCCCGCCTCGTCCTCACCCGCACACTCCCCCTCACCCGCACACTCCCCGCCTCGTCCTCACCCGCACACTCCCCCTCACCCGCACACTCCCCCGCACCCTCACGGCTTTCCCCGCACCCACACACTCCCCGCCTCGTCCTCACCCGCACACTCCCCCTCAACCGCACACTCCCCCTCACCCGCACACTCCCCGCCTCGTCCTCACCCGCACACTCCCCCTCACCCGCACACTCCCCGCCTCGTCCTCACCCGCACACTCCCGCCTCGTCCTCACCCGCACACTCCCCCTCACCCGCACACTCCCCCGCACCCTCACGGCTTTCCCCGCACCGCTGCTCAGACATGAATACCATTCTCAGTGTTCGAAAGCCGGTGGGTGTCGTTTGTTGAGCGTCTGTGTGTATGTGTGTGTGTATACGTGTGTCTGTGTATATATGTGTCTGTACATGTGCCGATGTGCGTGTATATATGTCTGTGTATTGTGTGTGTATATGTGTCTGTGTGTATGTATATGTGTGTCTGTATATGTGTCTGTGTATGTATGTGTGTCAGTGTGTGTGTGTATATGTGTGTCTGTATATGTGTGTGTGTATATGTGTATCTGTATATGTGTCTGTGTGTGTATATGTGTCTGTGTGTGTGTGTGTGTATGTGTGTGTGTGTATATGTGTATGTGTATATGTGTCTGTGTGTGTATATGTGTCTGTGTGTGTGTGTGTGTATGTATGTGTGTCTCTGTGTGTGTGTGTGTATGTGTGTGTGTGTATATGTGTGTATGTATGTGTGTGTGTGTGTATGTGTGTGTATGTGTGTGTGTATATGTGCGTGTGCTGACGCTCACAAGGAGATGAAGACAATGTAAATTACGTCTACAAATTGAGCGTCTGGATGGTGTGGCTTTGGCGCAGGCGGTCAAGCTCTCGCCTCCGAGCCAGAAAGTCGTGGGGTTTGAGCCCCACTTTGGGGACCTTGAGCTTACAGTCCAGGTTGACAATCCTGCGCAGCGTTGTGGGGGGGGGGGGGGTCGTGGGGGGCAGAAGGAGCGCTGTACTGTCGGTGATGCCACCCTTCGGATGAGACTTTTAAGTCGAGGTTCCCATCTGTCTGTTTGGGTAAACATTTAAAGATCCCCTAAACAAAAACAAAAGGAGAAGAGAGTTTCTCGCAGTGCCCTTCCCAACAGACTCCTGGATAAGTTTGACATTCACGTCTGGGTGTTTGTGTGTTGGACCTCACCAAAAGTGCTTCTGTATTTGCAAATACAATTGACTATGGTTCAGCAAACTTCCATTTACCGAAAGGATCCTCACTTCCTTAGTAATGAACCCAGTTCAGAGATCACAACATATGAGACTCCAGTACTTTGTTCTCTACACCGTTTCAATCCATATTGTCACCTGCCTCACCTAAATAATATAATAGCCACTGCATTTGATATCGAGCCTTATCACAATGAAGAATTGTCACTGAATATTTGTAGGAAAACGCAGCAGCTACATCTCACAAACAGCCTTGAAGTGACCGCCCAGTTGTTGGCCAGGACATGGGAGAAACTCCCTTCTCTTTTTTTAAAAAAAGATTTTAATATCCACCTGATCAGGCTGATGGGACATTGATTGAACATTTTACTCAAAAGTATGTGATTTCAACACCCACTGCTCCCCCAGTACTGAACGTGAGTGTGAGCTCAAAGGTCTTAGTACTGTTGATCACACTTATTGTACAGTACGTGATAAACCTAGGGCATTGGTTAAATGTAGCGTTGGAACTATTTTCCAGTGCCTCTAGGTATGTAAATAAATAGGGTTAGCACTTGTAACTTAAATTTGTGGATAACTTCAATAGCTGAAATTACACTAATGAGAAACACATAAATATTGACTGAATACTCGATGAAGTTTTAAATTAAAATCATCTATCTTGTTTATGTGCCTCAAAATGCCTATGAATTATTTATCCTCCATATATCTGTTTTCATACCGTATGTTATATATTTCAGACCGTTCCTTTTACTGCAAAATTCACTGAAGAACTAGGTGAAGAATCAATAATAGTTATTAAAGGAAAGTTGACTGATGATCCTCTCAGGTAACATATTGTAAACTATATATGTGTCAGGTTATAGGATTCAAAAAATGCAAGACTGGGGATTCAGAGGTGCCATTCCAATGAGCGAAGGAGTAATATACTTTAATCATTTAATGTATTAAAAGTTTGCCGTAAATTACACATTAAATATCGATTGTTTACATTTCAAAGTAAAAGTTCAGAGTTTTGAAAGTTGTAAGTACTGGAATATCAAATAGAGAGCACTCGTGAATTAATTATTAAATGTGAAATGTATTCTTTCATTTGGAGGAATTGTAGATGTAATGAACATTGCAGTAAGGGAATTATTCAGGTTGTGTTACGAATTCCAGAGTGAACACCTAAATGTGGAATATTCAGTTTATACCACAGTTATTATATGAAACTTGAATTTAGAGTTAATTATAAACTGTTTTGTAGTTTTGGTGAGAATGGTAGAAACACATACTAAACCGAAGAACACCTTACGTACTGATACATATTTTATCTTTGTTTTTGAGGGACCAGGGTACCTGTTCTGTATCCTGAAAATCGAATAAGGCTGGATAAAAATGACAAATATGACTCCCAAAGTGATTCATTTTAATAATTTATCTTCAGGACAAATTAAATAATTCTCTGATTCCGTGCTTTGCAAATGTTTTATATTGAACAATACAAATACATATACTGTAGTTATTGTAAGCGAGGTCTCATTGGAACTTGGCTGGCTCCAAGGAGAAATATCAAACTTCTGCAGTGGGCTTGGTAGTCCAGTTTCTGAGCCAGGCAGGTGCAGTACTCCAAGGCGTTGCTGATGACAGGCCAGTCAGCTCAGCTTGTCGGCAGACTTGAAGGGCAATCCGACTAAAACCATGTAGTGAACACTGTCTGGCAAGCTTCCTTCCTACTGCTTGTCCAGGTGGGACAACCTTACCCATTGGGCTTTGAGTTGGGAGCTGAGTGGGAAGAAGCTTGACTTGATCTGATGCCTGAAGAGGATTCACTAAATGACTTTTATTCTGGTAAGTGACCCAATGTCCTCTCTCCTCTCTCCGTCCACAACAACCTTCTGTGTGGTTCTTTATTTCAGTAATACTGTTGCACCAAACTCCAAACTTTCCTCCCAAGCTCCAAATATATTCTCATCTGCTTTTCCTCATCTTTACATCTTCACAATGCTAAAGTGTAAAGTTATAACACTTACACGTAAATAACATTATGGGCTATCGTACATAGGTAGTTCGGACATATGTGCGTGCAACCGCCAGGTAGGTGTAAGGCGAACTAGATGGACCTTGGTCTTTTTTTGTCTAGGATTTCCTATGTTCTTATTGCACTAGTTTCCACTCGACTTATTTTTTCCCTAGATTTTGGAATATGTTTTAACTTGCCGTAGCACTTCACAGGACATACTGGAGAGTAAATTGACTGTATGTATTGTGGGTGAAAGATTATTCTAATTCTCACCCATGCAGTGACTGCTTTACCCTTACCTCACTCATTCAACCTGATATAATTCACCAACAAAATATCCACATTGCTGGTATTATCCTTTTGTGAGTGAAAGCTATTTGGGTAGTAAATGCACAGTAATTACACCAGTTAGCAGCCAAACTATCAGCATACATTTTCCACTTGAGAACTTACTGATGACAGTAATGGAACATAAAACGCAATAATGCAAATTAAACAGATCAGCAACGCTAAGTTGCTCATTTGACCTTTGTTAATGAATGTGACTTAGGTTTTCCTCGCAGTAAATATAGAAAATTTTGGCTAGCAGGCCAAACTGAACTGTAAACAGCATTTCAGATGCAAGAGTTGTTTTTATTGGAGCAATTAAAAGAAAGTGATGGGTTTACCCAATATACTGTTGTAGAAATTCAAATATCTAAGTCCTAAAAGTCCAAATAATTAAATTTGCAAACATTAAAAAGGGTTGAAGATGAGTGCGTGTCCTCAAACGGATGTCAGTATGAATCCTGCATTTAATAATAATATAAGAAACGCCTTGCAGCAACAACTTGCATTTATATAGCGCCTCTCACGCAGGGTAGTGTCTCGGAGGGCTTCACAGTGTCGGAGCATGTCGCCAAGCCAGGGACTGCTCGGTGACCATAGGCAGGAAGAGGAAGGTCTTCAGGCGCGACCTGAAGATGGGGAAGGAGGGAGAAAGCCAGAGGGGTGGAGGGAGAATGTTCCAGAGTTTCAGGGCCAAATGGCTGAAAATTACAAAACAGTAAATGACAAATACCTCTTGAAAGGGTTCAACTTCATGAATGAACAAAAAAAAGCATATCTTCTGGAATTCTCATATTTGTAACCTGTACGTTCAATCATTTCATTCTCACTTCAAGAACTTTCCTTCCATTGATCCTAGGAATGTCACAAATACATTGCATGACATATGGCACAGATTCAGTGATGATAATTCACTTTCATTTCTGTTCAATGATATTCTGTACGAGCAGTCTGCAAGAAAACTCAGATAATGTTGAGTGCAAAGCAGTATATTCATAAATCATACTTTCAGATCTGTACAGATGATTCAACCGCATTCTTAACCACAACTGAGGCCAATGAAGCGATCAGTGTTGTCAGGAGGACAAATGTGAAAAGGAAGTTGAATCTAATGTCAACAAGCATTTAAAATTCAAAGGCCACATTACACCCGAGAGAGGAGAATTAATCCCCTCCTGTAAGGCAAGCTCAAAGATAAAGCTATCCTTTGTAGTCAAAGCAACCAACAATAGTCAGAATACCACCTGAATCACAAACTATCTCCCCAAACTCAATTCATACCTCAAGCAACTGAGCTTGAGGTATGAATTGAGCAGTTAACCCAGCGCACACTCTGGGCTCCCTCAAGCCTTGGCTCTTGCCAACCTGCGCCTAATACTCTCCGGAATTAGGGCGAGCGAGAGAGCGCATCCCATTCCAACAATCTCTCTCTGGGATTTCCACGGGTAGATGGGATGCATTGAATTCTGGCTGACCAAAGAAAAAAGATATGGAGTTGACTGGGCTTAGCATTCAGCAAAGTCTCAGAACAAAACCGTCAACCCTCCCTTTATTTCAGGCAAGTCACCAGCCATCAAATTAGATGCTGCAGTCCCCAGAATTAATTTATCAGTGCCAATGAGATTTTCAAGATAATGGCCATTATGCAAAGAGTTCAGTGACAATTAATGTAGATGTTATACTTGTATTCATCTCGGTGGTGTGTCTAATTAAAATAAATACAGTTGACTGAATTATCTCAACAAAAATACATATATAATTATATGAGTAGAATACTTGGTAGTATACAATGAAATACTTAATGTACTTTAGTCATTAAAGCCTTAATTATTCATCTTTGTGTTACCAAGTCTCCCATACATAATTTCTGTGTTCCTATTATCTTTATTTTTTCTACTTAGATTACATCTGGAGCGAAACATTTATATTTAATAAACGTGTTTTAATCTCTATCAGTCTCTCATTGATATTTTAATAAAAGGTGATGACTATCAATTTCCAATGTAACCAACTTGATTACTGTTAAATATTGGTTAATTACACCTATCGGTCATTTACTAAGTTAAACATTTTTTTTCTTATTTAGATTCGATGTTAATTTTCAAAGGGGAGATAGCCCTGAGGCAGACATCCTATTCCACTTCAATCCTCGTTTCAAAGAGGAGCTTGAGAAAATTATCTTTAATTCACGGGGACCAGATGGCTGGGGATTTCAGGGTGAGAAGTATGAAAATATTACCACCAGAGGTTCTTCATTCAAACTCGTGTTTGTGGTGTGGAGAAACTGCTTCCAGGTACCGTATTTGAACCACTCTGTGACTTGTTTTATTCATACTGATTCCCTTTTTAATTGATTAATTAATTTTTTTAATGAACTAATTGACTAAAGTCACTTTCCCCCCAAAATGTGGTCACTCAATCCACGATTGTTTATGGGATACTGCTGTGCACAATTGGCTGCCACGTTTCGCCCACAAAATATACATTCAGTATATTCTGTGAAGCTCTTTGAGACATCTTTAAGATGTGATAAGGTGCTATTTCAAATACAAGAATTATTATAATGATTTTTTGACATCTTTACAGTACATCCAATATGATGAACCTCATCGCTTCACTGTAGGTCAATTTTAATTAAAACATATTGGGATTTTTGGCCAATCTGGAGGTATGACTTTGCTACACTTTCCAGGTTATGTCAGAAATATTGACTGATTACTGATTATTTCCATTTTCTGGAGCTGTACCAGATTTCATACCTTTTGAATTCATTGAACACTGCTACAAATATCTTTTGGGCACATATTTTTCATTCAAGACCTAATGCATTTAAAAAAAAACATTTATTTATTTAGGTATCTGTAAGTGGTAGACACATACTTGAATTTCCACACCGAATTGAGGAATGGAAGCCTGATACTGTTATCGTGTTTGGAGATATCGAAGTAGAAAGTATTGATGTTCTCAGGCTGTAAGAGGTAAATATAATTGGTGTTATTTTAAAGTATTGAATGAATAATATCACGAAACAGGATATTGTGTCAGCCTGACTCAGTTAGTAGCACTTTTGCCTCTGAGTCAGAAGATTGTGTGTTTAAGACCCACGTCAGGGCTTTGAACTCACAGCAAGGCTGACACTAATTCTATACTGAAGCCATCCTTCAGAAGAGACTCAAACTGGAATCCTGTCTGCCAGTTCAGGTAGATGTTAAAAATCTTATGGCACTATTATTCAAACAGACAAGGGTGTTTCTCCTGGTGTCCTGACAAATAATCTCCCGATAAAATCGATTGTTCACTTCATAGCTACCTGCGGGCCATCATTTGCATACAAAATACACAGTCACTTTATAAAAACGAGGTGAAGCGCTTTGAGACATTCTTTCGACGTGCAAAGGTGCTAGCTATAATCAGGATTATTGTTAGTATTCAGATTACGGAATCAATCATTATTGTATTGTTGAAAAACAAAATGATAAATGTAATATATATAATTGTATATTATTAACCCAGCTGTAATGTGTGCTAAGTGAACTGTTACACTTAGGTCTTACTTTGTGATTCATATGTATCGTATAATTCTCAAAATAAGATCAGATATTACACAATCATTAATTTTTCCTGTATTTTTGTCTCGCAATTTCCTTATAGGACAGCTGAAGAAACTACAGGATGAATATTCTTAAGCAAAGTTGACTTAAATTGCAAGAATGCAACCAGAACAACAAATTGCGTTTATATAACACCTTTCACGTTGAGAGGATGTCCCAAGACACGGAGATAGCATCTAAAATATCAAGTGAAACAAATCTAACAATTTCTGAATATCATTACGTTAGATTTGGAAACCTGAAACGGCTTTAGTTCCTTCTACAATATGGAATACCTTGAACTAGAGGGATACAAATTTACTTTGTTTAGTTTGATTGAGTAGTTTCTGTTTTGCAAGAATAGATTTTATTAAAATAGCAATACTATATTAACAAATCAAGTGCATTGTGTTTATTGCTTTCAAGGGTTTTTATCTGATCGTGAAAACAACATGCACCCGAAAGAGAGAATTTGTATGCGTCCAGAGAGAATGATTGATGAGTGACTCAATGAGTGAACGACATTCATGCTCGCACGTACACACAGGCACAGACAGATTGACAGACTGAGGAGGAGCGCTACAGTCAGAAAGTGAGCAGAAGCGCGACACTGGACAAGTGGAAGGTAAGTAATTTATCTGTGACGTTTTATACCTAAAAAATTTTTTTTAAGAAGTTGTATTTCCTGCATTACTTTCCATATCTCCACCCTTTTCCTCTCTGGACTACCGAGGGAATCGGATAAATGTTTGAACTTAAGCACTCTGAGAATACTACCGTGCGTGAGGGATGTTATATGAATGCAAGTTGTCGGTATTATGGGCTTGACTTGAGCAGCCATTTGCGGGAACACGTTTCCCATTCTGACAACAATCTTTACGTGTCTTGACTTCAGCACTTTACGAGAGGAAAAGCAATAAATCCAGGCCAAAATGGAGTGATAAAAGGCATGTCATTCCTGGCACCTTTATTGGAGTTCTTGATCTAATGTACTTGGCCTTGTGGTTTTCAGAAGACTTAAGACAACAAAAGTCCCTCGAGACATTCATGGCCAGAGTGAAAGTTAATGAAATACAGGTTCAAACTGCAAATTAGAAAATGAATTGGCTGAACACTGTAATTAGAAAACAAGTCATCAGTAAATTAACACCTGAAACACAAATTTCCATAGGAATCCGGCCTGAAATTCTTAACTATATACAGTAGTATATATTTCAATTTCAAAATCCTTGCACTCGTCTTCAAATACCTTCATACCCTGGCACCTCCCTACCTCTCCAACCTGCTTACTCCCCAATAATAATAATAATAATAACATAGCGCCATATCACATCATTGAGACGTCTCAAAGCTCTTCACAGAATATACTGTGAAGTGAATTGACTATATATTTTATGGGACAAATGCGGCAGCCAATCGCGCACAGCAGTTCCCCACAGACAGTCGGGGATTAAGTGACCAAATTATTATTTGTCTCGTTATTTTTGAAGGGATTTTTTTCCCCCAGAAAAGCGATCGGCGAGCAACTGACAAGCGGGTTCCTACTTACTACTCGGTAAACAGGTGTGCGGAGTAAGGAAACTTACCCAATGTTTCGCCCTGTCCGGGAATCAAAACCGTTATCTCGCTTGCGAGGCAAGGGCTCTCACCGTTAAGCTACGGGACTCCAATCCACTATCCGTCGCTTCTGCCCCACCAGCTCCAGCCTCCTGCGTGTTCCTCATCCCTCGGCCCTCGTCCCCTCCGTTCCACCATCGGCGGTTGCGCTTTCAACCACTTTGCCCCCAAACTCTCCCTCTATCCCTTCACCTTGCCCCCTCCTTCCCCATCCTCAGGTCGCACCTCAAGCCCTTCCTATTCGACCGTATTTACGCTCACTTCCCCTCTCTCTCTCTTCCCCCCCCCCACCCGCCCCGGCTCGATCTCGTGCTCCGCCACTGTCAAGGGCTCTGGGACGCTACCCTGCGTAATACAAGTTACTAATGAAAACAAGAGCCACTAAAGTGAAGACTATCAACAACACGCATCATCATTTGAAGCAATATTTGTTTAATAGTTATAATAAATTATCGAACACATTTCAAATTTCCATGGGAAATTACCATAACGTCTGCAAGATGTGGATTAAAAAGAATGCAATTTACACCCCCCACACACCCCCCCCCACCCCACCACCCTTTGAAAATCCCAATGTATTTTACCAATTAAGTTCCAGCAGACAGAACCATACACCGCCAGTTCATTCACAACAGGTAAGGTAATCCTGCTAACAAGCGATCAGTCAGCACAAATATACAGTAATAACAATTCTCGCATTTGATATAGTGTCTTTTCACCTTGTTGAGACACCTCAAAGTGCTTCGCAGGAATTACTGTAAAGTGTAGTGACTGCATTTATTTTGCAGGAGAACGTAGCAGCCAATTTGCGACCCAGCAATCCCCCACAAACAAAATTGCTGTGATGTGAATGACCAATTTGGGTTGTTCTGGGAGAAACTCCTCTCTCTTTCGAATATCCCATGGGATCTTTAACGTCCACCTGACCAGGCAGACGGGACATCGGTTTTAACGTCTCATCCGAAGAGACAGCGCCTCTGACAATACCACGCTCCTCCCCCACACTCCCCCTGGCACTTTGCTGGGGCGTCAGCCTAGGCTATGAGCTCGAAGTCTTTATGTGGGGCTTGAACCCACAACTTTCTGATTCAAGAGCGAACGTGCCAACGACTGAGCCAGGCTGACACCCAATAATAATAATCCTCGCATTTGATACAGTGCCTTATCGCATCGTCGCGACGTCTCAAACCGCTTCACAGAATATACTGTAAAGTGGAGTGACTGTATATTTTGTGGGTGAAACGTGGCAGTTGTGCATTGAGTGCCTGCATTATTTTTTTTGAAGGGATTGTTACACCCAGAAAGCGATCCACCAATCGACTGACACCGGGTTCCTAATTAATGCTAAGTAAACAGAAGCGTGTAGGGCAAGGAAACTTGCCTAAGGTTTCGCCTGCCCAGGAATCGAACCCGGGTCCTCTTGCGAGACGAGCGCTCTAACCACAGGACTCCACCTATACGGTGTTTGCAATGATGGAGTGCAGGTAGGTCCCAATGACTGTGATATCAGATATTGTTTAGCAATGAGTTAAGGGGAATCAAAGGGACATTTAAATAAAATATGGCCTTTCGATCTTCATGCTATGAAGCCATATCGCAAATTGAGAATAACATAAAAGGACAGAGTATATTAACACAGAAAGGAATGTGCTCACTGTTACGTGGCAAATACAGTCCTATGGCATCTATACATCAGGATAATATAAACTGGTGTACGTAGCGTTTGCTAAATATTACCTTACAAATATAGATTTCTAGTGTTCTGCTTCACCTGCAGTCGCGATATTACAAAATAAAAAAAAGTGGTAGATTTTCAAAGTACAGAATTGTCTAATAACAATAATCCTGGCATTTGATACAGCGCCTTATCACGTCTTCGAGACGTCTCAAAGCGCCTCACAGGAATATGCTGTAAAGCGGATCGACTATATTTTGTGGGTGAAAAACGGCAGCCAATTGCGCACAGCAGTGTCCCACAAACAGTTCCCCCCCCCCCCTCCACCCAGTAAATTTAGTGGGTGGGGCTGTGGTGGTGGGAGGAACTAGTAAAGGTCTGTGAATGTTCCTCAGCCCACATATCTGGTTGGCTGCCAAGCCGTAGGTAAGATCATTGGGCTATTTGTCAGCCCACTTCCAATAGCTCCGTTAGTAAAATTAAGAGAAGTTTGGATGGTATAGGACCTTCGGATCTATTTGATCTCCTCCCTCCAGGGCATCAACCCAACTGACTTCACTTTGTGTTCTTCCACAGCAGATATTGTTCATTCATTCAATCGATAACGGAGCCTCAACAAGACAAGTTCATCAGATGCCGTTTTCCGCGGATCGTTCACTCGCTCGCCCGTTCCCTCGCTCGCTCGCTAGCTGCTCTGTGCTGCTAAGGTCCACATCTGTTAGCCAAGCGAGCTTAAGGCTTCTGGTTCCAACACCCAATTCAATCAACGTCCACTGAAGGTAACCAGAGCTGGTGAGGTGGTGGCTGAGCAGCCGACAGTCACTTACTGGGGGGGCGGGGGTTGGGGGAAGTCATCCCCGTCTCGCACATGTCCATCAGCACGACATCCCCCGCCCCTGACGCACATTGCCTTTCCTGCCTGACACCGGACTGTCGAGGTGCCAACACAGGACAAAGAGCTCTTTGTCTATCTCTGGAGATCCTCATCCCAGAATATATTCTTTGGTCGTGTGTGTGTGTGTGTGTGTGTATGTGTATTTGTTCAGTTTGGCGGATTCATCAGAGAGAGAGAGAGGAGAAAGAGTGGGGAGGTTTGGAGAAGGGGTTTGGAGAGGAAAAGGAAATCAGATGACTCAACCCTTCGTTCAGCTGGAGTAGGTTTTTTTTCTCTCTCTCTCCTCACACAAACTGCTTCTGGTCAAAAACACTTGAATTCCGCTATGTAAGGCTCTCTCTCTCTCTCTCCTGTTGGGTTCAGGGTTTTACGTGTTGCAGTCGTCCAGCACCGTTGTGCTTGCCCTGCGCAGGATGGGTTTCAGATCATGTGTTTTTTCTAGTCTCTCTGGCACTCGTCTCTGCTAGCTGCTGGGAGGTCCTTCATTCAGAAAGTAGGTGGCCATCTCTCCTTTGCCTTTGACTTTGACCACTCCACGATACTCCAGCTGGTAGTTTTCCGCCACCAACACTTGGTACATATCTGTGGTCACCTGTATAGACAGCAACAGCTTGAGATCAGAGTCTCCCTCATGTTGACATAGTGCTAACAACAAATCAATAATAAGAAGAATCCTTGCATTTGATATACCGCCTTATCACGTCGTTGAGACATCTCAAAGCGCTTCGTAGGATATACTATAAAGTGTAGTGATTGTATATTTTGTGGGCGGAACACTCCAGCCAATTGAACCGCGTTTCACCCACAAAATATACAGTCTCACAAACACTCGTGGATTGAAGTGACCAAATTATTATTTTTGTCTCAAAGGGATTATTATCCCCCCCCCCCAGAAAAGCGATCTGCCAATCGATTAACACCCGGTTTCCCAGCTGGAGTAAGGAAACTTGCCTAAGGTTTTGCCCCCAAATTGCATCTATATAAGTGCCTTCCTTTCACATCGAGTGGACGTCCCAAGGCGCTGGACGGTCAAGGATTTGCACCTGAGCTGGGTGTTGGGATCAGGACGGGTGGAGGGCGGAGAGGGTGGGGGTAGGAGGGTGACCGAAGACACCATCGGTCTTGAGACGTGCCTTGAAGGAAGCAAAGGAAGGAGCGAGGTAAAGGGACTGTGGGACGGAGTTCCAAAGGTTGGGGGCAGAGAGGCTGATGGCCTGACCGCCCCGCCGATGGTGGTGTGGGCAGGGCCAGGCATGGGACATGGAGCAGGCTGAGTGGAGGGAGCAGACAAGTCTATGGAGTTAGCAGGTCACTTTCCCCCCACCCCCAGCCACCAAAAAAATTCTTATATTTTACCTGAATTCGGTCGGGAACTCCTGTGCTGTCCATTCGACTGGCTACATTCACAGTGTTGCCCCAGATGTCATACTGAGGCTTTCGAGCTCCTATTACACCTGCCACCACAGGACCAATGTTAAGTCCTAATTGGAAGAAAGAATTATTTTAATAAATACACATTTAGTGCCTCTTCATGTCAACCCGCATCTAATACTTCAGGCCAAGCTCCACGGGCTCCCGATCACAGAATGGATCGATTTCAAGATCCTCTCACTGGTCTACAAATCCCTTCACGCCCTGGCACCTCCCTACCTCTCCGACCTGCTTTCTCTCCACTCCACTACCTCCTGCCTCTGCTCATCCCTCGTCCCCTCCGCTCTACCATCGGCGGCCACACTTTCACCTGCGAATCCCCGAAGCTTTGGAACTCGCTCCCCCCCTCCCCCCAATCCCTCCGCCTTGCCCCCTCCTTCCCCTCTATTAGGACACGACTGGAGAACTTCCTCTTTGACCGTGTTTACAGTCACCTCCTCCACCCCCCCTCCCCCGGCTCGGCGTCGGTCCCCGCCACTGTTAAGCGCTCCGAGATTCTGCCCCACGTGAAGGGCGCTGTGTAAGTGTAAGTTGTTGATGTTGTGGAGCGAGGGGCTTCTACAAGGCTGTACATTGGCTGCTCTTGAGTTGAGTCATCGGCAATGCTGAGTAAAGAGAGGAAGGATTTACCTATTTTCATTCGGAAGTTATTGAAGGAGTGCTCGTTGATGTATTTCATCTGCTCCATCAACCTCACAGCAAAGTCCGCCAGTGCCTTGATGTGTGTTTTTCCTGCCTTGTCGTACGTGGAGTCATTCAGTCCCGAAGCTGCCATGTAGGTGCTGCCAATGGTTTTAATCTTCTCCAACTGCCGAAACTGATCTTCACTGATGATCTGTCAGGAATGAAAACCACGGAGGCTTTTAACGCTCCAATAATGTCCTAGCTTCTTCTTAACAATAATAATCTTCGCATCTGACACATCGGGGCAAAACCTTAGCCAAGTTTCCTTACTCCACACGCACCCCTCTGGTTACCAGCAGTAAGCAGGAACCCAGTTGTTAGGCGTTTGGCAGATTGCTTTCTGCGGGTAATAATCTCTCCAAAAAAAACAATAATTTGGTCACTCAATCAACAACTGTGTGAGAGACACCGCTGTGCACAATTGGCTGCTGCAGTTCCCCCACAAAATACACGGTCACTACACTTCAGGTCTCAAAATGCTTCATAGAATCATAGAATTAAACACCACCGAAGGAGACTATTCGGCACATGATGTCTGTGCCGACTCTTTGAAGAGAGTTACCCAAATCAATCCCACTCCCCTGCTCTCTCCCCATAGCCCTGTAAACTTGTCCTCTCCAAATAATTATCGACGTAACAACAATGTATGTCCTTCCAAAGAGGCGTTAAACTGAGGTCCTGTCTTTCCGTGCACTATTCGAAGTGACAGGAGTATATCTCCCGGTGTCTTGGCCAACAATTCCCCCCAAAAAATTGCTTAACGGCTGTTTGTGAGACACTACTGTGCACAAAATTAGCTGCTGGGTTCGCTCATAAACCACACCGTCACTACACATCAGAGTAAAATTTTCCCAAGCGCTTTGAGTTGTCTCAGGTCCTCTCGCTTGCGAGGCGAGTGCTCTAACCACCAGGCTGCAGGCCAGTTTGACAGGGATCTATAACAAGTGGAAGTTTTTTTTTTTGTTGCGCTGCACACACCTCGTCAAAGTCGGCGATGATCTCGTTGAGGAGCCGCAGACACTCCACGCCCTCGTTGTTGGCCTCCAGCTCCACGTAGAACTCGGAGAAGTTGCTGATGGAGGCGAACATGACAGCCACGCACTCGCAGGACTGGTAGTACAGCTCGTCGTTGCGTCTCTCCCTGGCCAGAAAGTGGGCAGCCACGTCCTTGGGGAGGATGTTGTGCAGGAGCCGCCTGTTGTACGCCTGGAGTTCCTCCATCTCCTCTTTCTCCTCCGTCGCCTGTTTTGGGGGAAATCAAACACAACATTTCGTGAGCCAAGTCCGAGCGACAGAAGCAGCGCACGTTGTTTCCATAGCTCCCTCCATCACCACAAAACGTCTGTAGTTAATATTACCAACAATAAGAATAATCATTTTATTGCTGCGGGTTTTGCGGGCGAAACCCGGCAGCCAACTGCGCACAGCAGTGAGTGTCCCACAAACAGTCGTGGACTAAAATGACCAATTTATTATTGTTTTGTTAATATACTTCTATGTTATCCCCAATATAGAAGCACGCGTAATAAAAAAAAAAAATCACGAGAACACACTGCTTATAAAATGGTCCATCGGGATTCATTTGTACCCCAATAACGCCCCCGGGATTATTCAAGGACAAAACTACTGCGTCAGTATTTTTTTTCCAATGGATTTGCAGTCAGTTGTTCAATTCATTCTCGGCCACTGGAGGGTGTAGTGCATCCAAGTCACCGATGCTGTACCTGCTGCTGGCGATAAACTCCCTCCACTTGGCTGAAATAGTGTGTCTGAACAGCGGTAATATTAACACTAATAATCCTCGCATTGAGAGCCGTCTCAAAGCGCTTCACGGGACACACTGTAAAGTGAATGGGCCGTACGGTGTGGTTTGCGGGCGAAACGCGGCAGCCAACTGCGCACGGCAGCGGTCCCCCCACGAACAGCCGTGGGTTGAGTGACCAAATCATTATTCTGTAAGAGATTATTACCCCAGAAAGCGATCCGGCAATCAACTAACAACCGGGTTCCTACTTACTGCCGAGTAAACAGAGGCGTGCGGGTGGAGTAAGGGAACTTGGCCAACATTTCGCGCTGCCCGGGAATCCAACCCAAGTCCTTTCGCTTGCGAGACGAGTGCTCTAAACCACTGATTCCCCGTGCTTCTAAGAGTCCGTAGCAATAGGGTTACTGGGACTGTATGAATAACGTATCGGGGAATGGGTCGGGAGAGATGGCGATAATAGTCACCCTGCGCTTCGAGTCCTACCTGCAGTTTCCAGAGGAAGTCCAGCCTGGCCGTGGATTCCACCTGCTGTGCGTGGAGGTACAGAGCCAGGACAAACACCGTGATCACAATAGGAGTCATGATCTTCAAGGCCACTTTGGAGAACTTCAGGGAGCTGTCACAGGGAAGGAACTCATTACAGCAAACAGCAGGACGTCTCTCTGTCCAGGGGACTCACTTCGCCCCTCAACCAACAAGTGTGCATGCAGTGTTGCTGCCGTCAGCCCAGGAGATTTATAAAGGCAGTGGGATATCAATAGTTGGGATAAAATAAATGAAAGGGAATGAGAAACTGCAGGAGAATGAGATTCGAGAGCTCCAGTGGAAGAGTTGGAGCCGGCATCGACATAATGGGGAAATAGCGAGGAATCGGATTATAATAATAATAATCCTTGCATTGGATACAGCCCCTTATCACGTCACTGAGACGTCTCAAAGCGCTTCACAGAATATACTGTAACGTGAATCTACTGTCCCACGAACAGTCGTGGGTTGAGTAACCAAATTCTTTTTTAAAGGGACGATTAACCCCGGAAAGCGATCTCCAAATCGAATCGCAACCGGGTTCCTACTTACTGCTGGGTCAACAGAGTCATGCGTGTGGAGCAAGGGAACCTGGCCTAAGGTTTCGCCCTGCCCTGGAATCGAACCTGGGTCCTCTGGCTTACGGGACGAGTGCTCTAACCACCACACTACAGGACTCCACAGAGTTTTAATGAGTGTCCAGCAGGCCAGTGCGGCACTCGCCTTGGGGAACCTGGCAAAGCTCAGACTGATGGGATTCAAGCCTCTCTTTCTCTGCTGGATAACAGACCCTATAAGGAAAAAGTTTTGCACCGTCTCAGCCAACTGAAGCCACAGGACAGAAGTTGGCCTCTAGTCAGCCCGAAAAAGTCAATCTCTTCCCCAATTTCTTGCGCCAGTGATGGAGCTGATTATATCCCAAATGTGTTGTTCTCACTGTTTGTGACGACAAGAGCAATGAGGACATCTTATCTGGTCGGGGATTTACTACAGCAGATGTAGCGCTGACCACAAATAAAGGGCAGGAATGTGAAGAGCGGGCGGGGAGAAGAGAGAGAGAGAGAGAGGAGGGGGTGAGAGAGAGAGAGAAGGGAGCAGAGGGAGAGAGGAGGGAAAGAGAGAGTGGGGGGGAGAAAGAGAAAGGGAAGGGGAGAAAGAGAGAGGGTGTGGGGGACAGACAGAGTGAGCGAGTGAGAAAGAGTTGAGGGGATGGGGAGAGAGATAGGCAAACAGAGAGAGGCGTGTGGAGTAAGGAAACTTGCCTAAGGTTCCGACCTGCCTGGGAATCAAACCCGGGTCCTCTCGCTTGCGAGGCGAGTGCGCTGACCACCGCACTGCAGGACTGTTAGATACCAACTTGACGGCTTGTCTTTGGTGAGTTAATGATTCGTTGTGGCTTCAGTGATCCAACACGTTCTACCCGTTGTGACAGAGTTGGAGTGAGCAAGGTGTGCGGAGTGGGGCAGGGGTGCTCTATATGTGCTTGGCTATCGATTGGCCTTGTTGACCAAATGTGGCAACAAAATGGTGCTCGATAATTAACACCAGGGATAACTAACGCATCCGCCCAGGTGTCACCTTTTCACCTTCTCTCTCCTCCTCACACCCAACGACAGCGACGGACATCGATCGCTGAGCTTCACACACACACACACACAGTGAGGTTACTCTCGTCCTCAAACTGTACTCACCAGGTCCAGGTCCCGTTCACAGGCCCCCTGCAGAGCAGAAGAACAGAGTAATGTTGGAGTGGGTCAGAGTTACCGTTCAACAGTCAGGAGCTGAACTTGTGGGAACCGGGAAATGTCCCCCTTTGTGGGTGGGACTTCAGCCTCTCTGCCCCCATCCTCTGGCATTCCATCCAACAGTCCCTCTGCCTCGACCCCTCCCTCCCTTGCCTCCTTCAAGACCCATCTCAGGACCCTCTCTTGTCCCCCCCCACCACCACACCCCCAATCCACCCTGATATCATGGTCCTCTATAATGCTGGGGGAGTCCTGGATTGTCAATAGTGATATGCTTCAAATAATAATAATCACTGTATTTGATATAACGCCTTATATATATATATACTCTATATAGTGTAAAGTGTAGTGACTGTGTATTTTGGGGGTGAAACGTGGCAGCCGTTCGTGTACAGCCACAAACAGTCGTGGAGTGAGTGACCAATTTTATTTGGGGGATTGTTGGCCAGGACACCGGGAAAGAGAGAGAGGGGGGGAGGTGAGTGGGGGGGTTGGGAGAGTGCTACTGGAGACGGAGGGAGACTTGGAATGTTTTTCACATCGGGGCTCTAATCTGATGTGAAACGCGCTGTAGAAGTCCATTAAGATTCCATTAATGACCTCTTGTGGCCGAACACACACGTAAAGCCCTCGCGTTCTTCTGTTGGGAGTAAAACCGCAGCTCGATCACGCACAGCTCTCAGCACAGCCACAGACAGCCCACGTGGAACCAGATGTGCGGCTGATGAGATGGTGTGACCGAACGAGACGAGAGCCAGGCCTGCTGCGAGGCAGAGCCAAAGTCACTTGGATCTCAACCCGTTTACAGGCTATTAAGCGATCCGCAAACATGTGTAACGTAATGTGTTCCGGCCAATTTAAATCCCAACTTTATAATTGAGACGGCTTATTGAATAGCGGCACTGTTGGAGCTGAAGTTCACTGTTTGCCTTGGACCTCACCCAACTCGACTTGGGTTCTTAACCTCCCTCTCTCTCTCTCTCTCTCGCTTCCTTCAGCTAAACAGCAGGACTGGGGGAGCGAAAGCGAGAGCTGCTCGGAAGTTTAACCCTTTCCGAGGTCTTACCCGTGTTTCACATCCTAATTGTGGCACTAGTCATCATCATCAACAACCACAACCACTACAACAAGCTTTCCACAACGCTTTTCACGTCAGGAGGACGTCTTTCCGACCCGAAGAACGCTGTACAAGTGTCATTTGTTGTCTTTGACACTGTCCCCCCACCTCCCCCCGCTCCGCCCCCCACATTCGTCAAGGCATAACAGGGAGAAAGGAGACTCGGTACGAGTAAGTGGACGTACAGAGCGTTGGCGGTGACCAGCAGGTCTGCGTTGTCGTAGATGGTGACTCCGGGCACCTCCATCGTTAGAACGTAGATCAGCTCAATGAACAGCATGAGGACCAGCTTCCCAATGCTGCTGATCTGAAGAAACACAGCGCAGGCCAGCAAGCTGAGCAGCACGCAGTAGGTGAAATACTGTCAAACAAAACAGGGAGACAATTAGACCGTGTCCATCCGGATCTCATCCATCGATTGATCAAAACACATCATCATCATAATAATAATAATAATCCATTGGATTGATTCATTGATAATGCTCGCTGCTTAGTAAACAGAGAGAGGCGTGCGGAGTCAGGAAACTTGCTGAGGGTTTCACCCCTGCCGGGAATCGAACCCAGGTCCTTGTTGCTCGCCGAGGCGAGTGCTCCAGCCACTGCACGACAGGACTCCACAATCTATTCACTGATTGATTGATTGTTTGATTGATTGATTGACAAATAACAGTAATCATTTGATTTAGCGCCTTATTGAACATCTCAAAGCACTTCACAGGCTTTTACTGCAAAGTGTAGTGACTGTAGGGAGCAGGGATGGGTCACCACACCTATCCGGCTGTCTCGTGAGTGTCTGACCCGCGCGGCAAACCCATCACCGCCCTTGAGTCCCCAGCCCAGACTGAGAGAACCACATCTGTGCACGTGCGGCTCGGGTACCTCGGGAAAGTTGCAGTTGGGATGTTGACTGTGGCAGAAGCCGCTCTCTGTGTCCAGACTGTAGTTGACGAAGGAATTGATGACGTGACAAGCGTTGACCCTGCTGGGTGTCGTGTTATATTCTTTAGCCACACAGCTGTGCAGGTCCTGAGTGTCGCACACAAACTGTGGGGAGGGGGGGGGGGGGGGGGGGAGATATTAACAGAGAGAATTACATTCAGTGTCCACCCCTCCCCGACCCTCCCAATTTCCAGCCCATTTGCCCTCCGCAAAAGGGCAACAGCAACAGGCCCTGACAGCCTGACCCCAGTCCATCTCTGTAAAGCCCTCCGAGGCTTGTGCAAGCGGAAACGGAAATAATAATAATCCTCGCGTTTGATACAGCGCCTTTGTCACGTCCCAAAGCGCGTCACGGAATGTACTGTAAAGTGGAGTGACCGCGTATTTTGTGGGCGAAAGGCAGCAGCCAATTGCGCACAGCGGCGTCCCCCCACCCCCCCCCAAACACAGTCGTGGATTGAGTGACCGTATTATTATTTTTTCTGGAGGGATTATTACCCACCGATCGATTAACACCCGGGTTCCGACTTACTGCCGTGTAAACAGAGACGTGCGGAATAAGGAAACTTGGGCAAGGTTTCGCCCTGCCCTGCCCTGACCCGCCCAGGAATCGAACCCGGGCCCTCGAGCTTGGCACGGCGGGCGAGCTACCCACTGAGCTACGGGATGGAACGGGATATGAAGCTCTGTGCCATTTACGAGCCTCGGGTTCCTTATTCAGAAAATCCCGCATAGTAAGACCTCGAAAATCACGACCGAGGTTAGCTGGTTAGTCGTTAAGTTTTTATAGCCCAATGAATCTGCTGGTTTGCACTGTGCTTTTGTATTATATTTTTAATAAGAGTTCTATTTCTGCAGAACTCGTCAAGAGTCTTATCTTTTATGCAAAGAAACAGCTTCTTAGGAGGGGAGAGAAAACTTCAAAGCATTTCTGTGTGAGAGGGACCCAGCGGGAGGTATCAATGCATTACCCGCTGTGACTGCTTGTGAATCCAACATTCACTAATCCCCTCTCCGCAGGTTCCCTGCGCTGATTAACAGCGAAACCAAAATATCTCTAATAATAAGCCTTGCACTTGATAGAGCGCCTTATCACATCGTTGAGTCGTCGAGACGTCTCGAAGCGCCTCACCGCTGAAAAAAGTGGATTGACTGTGCGTTTGGTGGGCGAAACGGGGCAGCTATTTATAATGATAATGTGATAGTAATAAATAATAATATTTTGCACACAGCGACGTCCCGTTCCCCCCCCCAAACGGCCGTGGAGCGAGTGACTGATTTTATTTGGGCCATTCTTGCCCGGGACACCAAGAGATGGAGGGAAACTCCCTTCTCTTTGGAAACAGCGGCACTTATTTACCACAACAACTTGAATTTATATCGCGTTCTTCCTGCGGGTGGTGGGGGGGGTGTGTGGGGGGTGTGGAGGGGGAGGGGGGGGTAGAGTCTCGGAGCGCAATTATTATCGAAGGACCTACCATGTTAACAAATGCCGAGACAAAGACAAGTTTAATGGTGAAGACTCCGACCAATGTGCTGATTGTCCGCGACTGCACAATGTTCTTCGATAACCTCTGCAGCGGCCCTGGAAAGATCTAGAAGATGAGGCCTCATGTTAGTTACTGCAAACACTGGAGCTCTCTAAGCCCATTCCCTGCTCTCTCTCTTCCCCCATCGTGTCTGTGCTGGGGCTCGCTCCCCCACTGGAGCTCTCTACTCTAACCCCATTCCCTGCTCTCTCTCTCTCTCTCCCCATGGTGTCTGTGCTGGGGCTCGCTCCCCCACTGGAGCTCTCTACTCTAACCCCATTCCCTGCTCTCTCTCTCTCTCTCTCTCTCTCTCTCTCTCTCTCTCCCCATGGTGTCTGTGCTGGGGCTCGCTCCCCCACTGGAGCTCTCTACTCTAACCCCATTCCCTGCTCTCTCTCTCTCTCTTTCTCTCTCTCTCTCCCCATCGTGTCTGTGCTGGGGCTCGCCCCCCCACTGGAGCTCTCTAATCTAACCCCCCCCCCTCCCCACTCCCCTGCTCTCTCTCCCCGTTTGCCAAACAACAAGTGCTTTCGTAGTTCGCTCGGCTCTTAATGATCGATCGCTGGGAGGTGATGAGTCACACTATGGAGCCAGGAAACCGACAGCTCCTGCGCACACGGTATGAAGCGATCAGAAGTGTCCGCGTCTCAGTTTCTTAAATACGCAAGACGTTTGCTCGACATAATAAGGACGGCTATTCATAGAATCTATTTTGAATCAGTTCCTGTGATAATGTTCGACACCCACCCCTTGTGTTCAGCCACCGGAGTTTTAATGCAATAATAAGGTGCATCTTTCTTTTTACGGCATCAATGGGTGACTGACATTTTCTTCTCCCGCTCTCTCTCTCACTCTCTCTCTCTCCTTCTAAAGCTTCCTCACTCCTCTCCCCCACTTCCCTCTCTCCTCTCTCCTCCTCCTTCCCTCTCTTGTCACTTCTTCTCCTCCTTCAGTTCGCTTTCCACCATCCTGGCAGGTCACTTGCACATGTTCGAGACGCGCATGTGCAAGAGACCGCCAGGAAAGTGGAAGGCCAACGAGAAGGACCTCGGTCTTTCTTTCATCCCAACATTCCTTATGATCTTATGTCCACTCTCCTCTTCTATCTCCCCTCCTTTTCCTCTCCTCTCTTCGCCGCCAAGTCCCACCACACGTGGAAGCAATTGTGCTGATGTGATCACAAGGGGAAGGGAGAGGAAAGAGTGTTGAGCAAAAGCCAAGCCGGGTGGACCTTGTACGTGAGCGGGTTATTAAGGTGGGCGAGGGGGAAGCGAGACTCAGAGGGTTGAGGAGAAAAGAGATGAAGGTCTCGTCCCCCGACAGGGGTGGGATGGAGCGACAGAGAAAGAGCTAAGAATCCGAGGACCGGGCGGGGAAATGGATAGTTGGCAGTTGCTGAGGCGGGGAATGAGGGAGGGGGGATATCGTGGAGGGTTATGAAGGTCAAGGTGGTCCAACCTTTTGGCTGCTGAGGGCCGGATGCCCCTATTTGAGAAACGTCTGTGAGTTGCAGAAGCAATACTCACGTGTTTCCCTTCCAGAAACATCACATAACATTTCCGGGGGAGGATGTAATCAGTCGGCATGGGGGGGTGGGGGGCCGGATGTGGCCCGCGGGCCGCCGGTTGGATCAACCTGTATCGGACGTACACTCAGGGCTCTGGGAGGTGAAAGTAGTACGGCCGGGTGGAAGGATTTACAACAAGCCAAGCCATGGGGAGATCCTGATTTAGCAGCTTGATGTGGAGATGGGGGAAGGTGGGGAGAGAGGGGTCTGGAGGGATGAGATCAGAGAGGGGTCGAAAGGTTTTTTTTTGTTTAAACCGGTGCTGAGATCTGGGAAAAGGAGGGATATTCACTGTCTTACCTTCACACAGGAGTAGACGGCAGATACAAACAGCACGTTCAATAGGATCAGCGAGCAGATCAGGTAAAAACCCAACATCAACAGCGAACTGCAGGGAGAGAGAGGAGGAGTTACAACAACAACAACAACTTATTACATTGATACAGCACCTTTCATGTTGGGAGGATGTCCCCAAAGCGCTGGACACTCAATGATTTACATTCCCCAACTTGAGCTCCCTCTCTCTCTCTCTCTCTCTCTCTCTCTCTCTCCCCATGTGCCGGTGCTCGCTCTCCCACCACCCCCCCACCCCCCACCCCCCGCCCCCACTGGAGCTCTCTACTCTAACCCTGCGATTACTTAACTGAAGCCATCTGTAATTCACTTCTTTTTTGGGGGTCAACCATGGAAACCCATCACGCATCCTGCTTACCTAATTCCGGAAAGTATCAGGCGCGGGTTGGCAAGAGCCAAGGCTCGGGTGGGGGGGGGTGAGGGAGAGCCCAGAATGTGCGTTGGGGTAACTGCTGGAGTCTAACCACATAGCTTGCCGTTGAGAGCGCAGTCTGGGCAAGCTTTCCCGCTGCTCGTCCAGCAAGGACCACCCTACCCATTAGTTAGGGGCTTTGGCTGCGGGGTTAGTTAACGGGAGCTGAGTGGATCCCGGGGAGTGAGCGTGGACAGTGGGAACCTGAGACATCTTGTTGGGAACTTGACTCACTGTGGTATGATGGTGACCTGAATGCTGCAGATGAAGAGGAAGACCAGACAGGCACAGGCCACATATGCCCCAAATCTGTCGTCCAGTTCCCTGGAATACTGTAAAAGAGGTGAAACCCTCGAATTACTGTCAAGTCGATCAATGATGATGATGATGATGATGATGATAATGATAATGATAATAATAATAATAATAATAATAATAATAATAATAATAATAATCCTGGCATTTGACGCAGCGCCTTATCACGTCGTCGAGACGTCTCAAAGCGCTCCACAGGATGCACTGCAAAGCGTAGTGACTGTGCGTTCTGTGGAAGCGGCAGGGAATTGCACGCAGCAGCATCCCCCCCCCACACACACACACACACACACACAGCCATGGGGTGAGCGATCGATTTCACGTGGGGAATTGTCGGTCAGGACACCGGGGAAGAGAGAGAGAGAGAGAGAGAGGGAGGGAGAGAGGGGGGGGGGGGGATAGGGGGTGGAAACCCCCTTCTCTTTTCCAATAGCACGACGGGATCTTTAACTTCCACCTGCACTGAACAGGCAGACGGGGAGTGGGTGGTGGGTGGGGGGAAGCCCATGGTGAAGCGACCCCCCGGCCGGGCTGGGCGTGAGCTCTGACCTTCTTCTCCAGCTCCGGCTTGCGGAAGGTCAGCAGGAATTTCCGCACGTGCTCCGAGCGCAGGCGGTCAATACTCCTGGCGTCGATCGCCCGGCCCAGGAACTCGTCCACCTCATCCTCGGGGTTCAGGCTTTCCTGAGTGTTTCTGGTGAGTGCAAAGGAATGAGTCACAAAGAGAGAGAGAGACACACACACACACACAACACACACAACACGCACAGACACACATAACACGCACAGACACACATAACACGCACAGACACACATAACACGCACAGACACATGCACAACATCTCTCAACTGCATTCAGTTCCGCTCACCAAGCGTCGATTCTCAATACTACTAATAATAATCCTTGCACTTGATTGTAGCGCCTTATCACATTCGTTGGGGCGTCTCAAAGGGCCTATATTTTGCGGGCGGAACAGGGCGGCCGATCGCGCCCGGCAGCGTCCCACAACGAGTCGTGGATTGAGTGACCGTGACGGTAGCAGCTGATGGGACTAGATGGACCTCGGTCTTTTTGTTTTGGTCCAGCTATTCGTATGTACCTATGGCACGGAGGGAGTGGGTGCTCAGCGCTGCGGAATAACCGCCCCACCCCCCCACCCCCATCCAACCCAGTCATATACCGGTTCGCACTCACTGACCAGGGTTGCCAGGGAGGAATGGACCCTTGGGTAGAGTATGAAGTTCCCATTAGAATTTGACCCAATGGTCTATGGCAAAATCACTCAACAAGGCTGCCCGCTGTGCCTGTACCCGGTGACAGGGGGCGCCGTTCCCTCCGCCTGTGTCTCGGTCTCTTTCTCTCTCTCTCGCTCTCTCTCCCTAACTTCACAGCAAAGAGATGGAATGAGAGAGAAAGAGTAAATAGAACGCAGGGCGGGTAGACAAGGGATGGACGGCTCTTCCCCTCTGGTCAGGGGCTGCAACCCGGGCAACCTCTTAAAATTGCGGCGGTTACCTGGAACGGCACGAGATAAAAAATACCAAAAATACCTCGCATTTGATACAGCGCCTTATCACGTCGTCGAGGCGTCTCAAAGCGCGTCATACAATATCCTGTAAAGTGTAGTGGCTGTGTATTTTGTGGGCGACGTCCCGCAAACAGTGGAGCGAGCGACCAATTTTTTTTTCCAGGGATTATTACACCCTGAAGAGCAATCCGCCAATCGATCATCAACCGGGTTCCTACTTAGGTAAACGGAGGCGTGCGTGTGGAGGAAGGAAACTTGCCCAAAGTTTCACCCCGTCCGGGGATCGAACCCGGGTCCTTTGGCTTGCGAGGCGAGTGCTCTAACCACGACACGACAGGACTCCAAGATAACAATAATAATAATTATTAATATTGCCATGACTCACTTGTCCTTGCCAATGTAATCCACAATGCCCTAGGGATCAGAGGAGAAAACGAGACACCATTAGAGTCAGTTGAGAAACAGCCCCAAATCCTTTTACGCAGAAGTCACGGTCCTGAAGTCTTCTTGTCATTAATTATCCCCCTGTCGCTCGCCCTCCAATACCAAATGATATTTACACGGCGTCTTTCACGTCGGGAGGACATCCCAAGGCGCTGGGCAGTCAGGGATTCGGAGCTGAGCTGGGGGTTGGGATCAGGAAGGGGGTGGAGGGCGGGGAGGGCGGGGAGGGCGGGGAGGGCGGGGGGGGGGGTAGGAGGGTGACCGACCGAAGGCTTGGTCAAAGAGGAGGGTTTTGGGATGGGTTTTGAAGGAGGCGAGAGAGGGACGGAGGGAAAGAGGGATCCAGGCAAAGGGACTGTGAGATGGAGTTCCAAAGGGTGGGGACAGAAAGGCAGATATAACACACACACAGAGACGCACATACAAAGAGAAGGGAGTTCCCCCGATGTCTTGGCCAACAATTCAGATTAAAAAAATGTCATTCATCTCACGGCTGTTAAGCTGCGCACAAATAGCTCATTGTATTTAAATACGTTGTCACTGAACCCTTTTGATGTCAAATGCAAAGATGATCTAAAATAACAGGCGCCTCCGACACAATGAGAACTGTGTCCCTGAGTGCTTCGCGGAAAATTGCTGTCTAGTGTGATATTAATAATAATCCTTATATTTGATCAGTGTCCTCCCGCCGGTGAAAGGCGCTCTACAAACGCGACGCTGTTGTCGTCGTTGTTGATCCAGTCGTTGAGACGTCTCGAAGCGCCTCACTGAATGTCCTGCAAAGTGCAGTGACTGTGTGTTTCGCGGGTGAAACGGGGGCAGTCAATGGCATACAGCATCGTCCCCACAAACAGTCGGGGGGGGGGGGAACTGAGCGGCCAAATCATTAGTTTTATTTTTTGGGAGGGATTATTACCCCTGAAAATGCCATCCGCCAATCGACTAACAACCAGGTTCCTGCTGACTGTTGGGGAAACAGAGGCGTGCGTGTGGAGAAAGGAAACTCGCCCAAGGCTTTGCCCCGCCCGGGTCCTCTCGCTCGCGAGGCGAGGGCTCTGACCGCAACACCGCAGGACTCCACAGTGACTGCAGCGCAGGAGAAGCGTGTGGTGACTCTGTGGTTTGCATAAGTGGTGTCTGGGCGTAGTCTGCAGGTAAATGCAGGAGGCAAAATGCACGCAGCGGGATCCCTAAATAGCCTCGAGGCAAATAATCGTTTAATCTTCCGGCTGTTGGTGACTCCTACACTGAAGTGAGTGGGCCAGTGAGTTTGCCCGCAATATGGTAGGAGTAAGGCAGAGAGATAAGCCTCGTGGGACAGGAAAAGAAAGGGAGGTTCTATTTTGAAACGCGTCTCATCACCACAAAGCATGTCAAAGGGCCTCCTCGCTGAACTTGCATCGAGTGGAGTGACTGTTTCTGTCAGCAAACACGGCAGCTGTTTCTGTCTCGCCCACCGCTGAATCCCTCCGCTCCCTGCCGCCGCCTTGCCTCCCCCACCCCCTCGCTCCCCAATCCACCGCCCGGCGCCTCCGCTCGGTCTCCTGCTCGTCCCTCTGCCCCACCATCGGAGGTCGCGCTTTCAGCCACTGCGCCCCGAAACTCTGGAACACTCTCCCTCAATCCCTCTGCCTCGCCCCCCCCCTCCCTCCCCTTCATCAAGTCCCGCCTGAAAACCGTGCTTTTCGACCGTGCTTACGGCCACCTCCCCCCCCCCCCCCCCCCACTCCAACCCCACCACCCCCCGCCACCCCGGCTTGCATGAGAGTGTGAGCGTGCAAGAGTGTGAGAGTGCGAGAGTGTGAGCGTGCGAGTGACTGAGTCAGAGCTGACACCCTTTTTTGTCCCGTGAGTCAGGATCAGCTGTGAGCGAGCGAGCGAGGAGAGTGTCTGGGGAAGCGATCGCTGGTGGGAAGTCACTGAGACGCTTCTTGAGGGAACGTGTAAAAGTTCTCAGTAACTCTTTAATTGCGTCGACTTTAAGCAGAGGCAGGGACTCGCCCCGGCGTGTGTTTAAACTGGCAGCGCAGGGCGAAGAGAGAGAGAGAGAGAGACGGGGACGGGGGGGGGGGGGGGGGTGAGAAAGAGGGAGGGAGAGAGTCAATGACATAGACAGAGAGAGAGAGACAGAGAGTGAGACAGTGACCGACACAGACGGAGTAAGAGAGAGAAAAAGACAGAGAGAGAGAGCGCGAGAGAGAGATAGTGACAGAGAGCGACAGAGAGAGAGAGAGGGGGGGGGGGGGGTATTGGGGGGGGGGGGGGGGTATTGGGGGGTGGGGGACGAGAGAGACAATGACAAGACCCCCCAAACCTCCTGACTTGACCGCGGAGGCGCGAGCCGCCGACCAAGAGGCAAAACCAACTGTTTAGATCGAAGGCAAAAAAAAAAAAAACGTCACATCAACGGAAAGACTTTCCTACCATCGTCTTCATCTCTTTGGAGATGTGGTTGTAAAAATGTCTCTCCACAGTCCAGGGTGAGCCGATGTTGGCCAGAGAGTTGGAGCGAGTCCGGTTGAGTTTAGCGATCATCGCCTTCTCTTCTTTCTGCGGATCGAAAGCCAACGCGCACGTGTCGGGGGTGGTGGGAGGGGGAGTGGTTGGGGGTGGTGGGGGGGGGGGGGGCGGGTTTGGGGGTGGGAGAGGAAGGGGGGGAAAGAAAAAGTATTATGTCCGAATGCAAGAACATTGCGGAAGAAATCACGAACGCCCTTTACCTTCTTTTTGCCCCACGAGGCAATAATAATGATAATAATAATAATAATAATAATAATAAAACGATCCGCCAATCGACTTAACAACCGGGTTCCTGGGGAAACGAGAGGGTGGTGGTGGTGGGGGGGGGGTGAGGAGTGAGGAAGCTCGGCTAGGAATTCCCTGGGAATCGAACCTCTCGCTTGCGAGGCGAGGCCTCTAACCAACACACGACGGGACTGCGCACTGCCGTACGGGGACACGGCCGTACGTAAAGCGCTCCGAGACGTTATCCCACGTGAAGGGGGCGCGACATAAATACAAATGGGTGTCCGTCACTGTTACGGTTGTTCCTCCGCTCCCCTTCCCCTCGCCCACTCGGTCCAGGCGAGGCTGAGCGCTATTCTGCTCCGCAATACGGTAATTTACGTCAATCTGTCGCCCCCCCCACCCCCCACCCCTCCACCCCCCACCCCGCCCCCGTGCGCTTAGAAACAGCACCAAATTCCATTCAGACGATAAAAGCGCATTGGCTCCCACTCCAGTCGTTGGCTGGAGGGCATCATTTCCAGATCGTTACCAGAACAAATAACTAAGGCAGAGAAGTTAGAAGAAACATTCTTTAACACACAGACACACACACACACACACATATATTTACACACGCAGAGGCTTATTAGGACATAGAATGGCCGGCCAAGTACGCTGGCTGAAGCAGAGTCGCTCAGCGCCTTATCACGTCATCGAGACGTCTCAAAGGACATACTGTAAAGCGAATGGACCGTGTATTTCGTGGGCGAAACCCGGGAGCCATTTACGCACAGCAGCGTCCCCACCGACCAGTCGTGGATTGAGTGACTCGTTTCTTTTTTCTTTGGAGGGACTGTAACCCCCGGAAAACGACCCACCAACTGACTAATAACCGGGTTCCCACGTACTGCCGATAAACAGAGGCGTGTGCGCGTGCGTGTGCGCGCGTGTGCGTGCGTGTGGAGTAAGGAAACTCGCCTAAGGTTTTGCCCTGACCTGACCCGCCCGGCAATCGAACCCGCTTCGAGGCGAGCGCGGTAACCGCTGAGCTCCGTGTAAACGTCCATCATGCCGTGGGTGCCGTGCCGGGCGAGACCCCTCCCTACCTAAAGACCTTCCTCTTTGATGGGGCTTACGGTCACCCTCCCAACCCCCTCCCTGTCCCGCCGGCTCGGGGTCAGACCCCGCCACTGTCTGGCGCTCCGGGACTCTGCCCCGTGGGTAAGTGCAAGTTGCTCTCGACTCTCCCCCGGTCTTAAAACAAAGTCAATCCAAGATTGCTTTACCCTTTTCTGGCTGCAGCCCACGATAAGGAACGTCTCTATGTTGTGATCCTTCAGGTAAACGTTCCTCTCGCCCCCAAAGCCCGGTTCCACCTCGTAATCCCCGTTCAGGTAATTCAGTGTGGCTTTGGTGATGTGGATTCTCCTGCAAGGAGGGAGGGAAAGAGAGAGAGAGAGAGAGAGAGAGAGAGAGAGGAAAGGTTTCACCAGCTGCTCAGTCACAACCAATAACCATAATCATCATCGTAATAATTCTTTGCCGTTGGTATCCGGTGAGATTCAAACGCCTCAAAGCGCCTCACGGAATATACCGTTAATATATAATTCATATGCAGCTGAGACGTCCGAACCAGGTGATGAGGCGCTATGTCAAATGCAAGGATTATTTATGATTATTATTGCTGCTATCATCATTGCTGTTGTTATAGTATAACGGCATTATTTTTGTGGGCCAGAGACGGCGGCCAATTGCCCACCGCGCGGTCCCACAAACAGCTGTGGATTGAGCGACCGAATTCTTAAGTGTTTTTTTTGACCCGCGAAAAAAAAACGGCCCCCCAGCCCCCAACCCCCAGCCTCCAGCCCCCCAGCCTCACAGTGCCCCAGCGCCACCCCCCCCCACCCCAGCTAACCCTTACCCGGCTTTGCCTCCGGCTTCCATCTGATTAGCCAAAGTCACGTCGTTCGACCACACGTCGAACTGCCACTTGCGAAGCCCGAGGACCCCACAGTGAACACGCCCGCTGTGGATGCCCACACGCATGTTCACGTTCACGCCCGTCACCTCTCGCACCAGCCTGCAGTGGCCACACGCAAAGGACGGGCGTTATCAGCGCGCAGAGGTACCAAACACTTCGCGCGCGTCCGGAACAACACGTTAAAAAACCTTTTTAGTAACACGCGCATATACATACGCACGCACGCACGCACATACATCCAAGCGCTCTGACACGCAACCCTGCGTGAGAGGCGCTATACTAATTCGAGTTCCTGTTACAGACACACACATGTACACGCACGCATGCACACACGCGCGCGCGCGTGCACACACACACACATGCACACACGTACACACGCACACACACGCACACACACACGTAATCCATGCATTCGACACAGTGCCTCTCATGTCAGGATGACACCTCAAAGATAATGTTGGCTGACCACCAAAATAGGGCCAGAAAAAACGAACGGGGGGGGGGGGGGGGGGGCGGGGGGGGGGTAGGTGGAGGGGACCGGAGAACAGGACGAGTGGTGGAAATTAGGAGGCGCTAGAAATCCGAGTGTGTGTGTGAGAGAGAGAGAGAGAGAAAGAAAGAAAGAAGAGAGGTAACAAAAATGAAGCGATTAACAAAGAGATCTTCCAGAAGGGGGACTTTCTTTCTTTTTTTAAAAAAAAATTAATTTCATTTAATGAGGTCAAGTGGCTTCCGGCAAACACCCCGTTTAGCCACAGATAGAACAAGTTATCCGTGTGGTTTTTTTTTTCCCACACTCCATTTAACGGCGGTCGAGGCGCGGCGAGGCCACTGGACGAGCAGAGGAACTCTTAAAGTTAAACGTTCTCTCTATAAAAGGAAGAAAATTCCTGTTCGGAAAAGGAAAAGGTCCTTCTCGATCTCCCCCCCCCCCCCCCCCCCTCCCCCTCCACCCCCCATGTGAAACAACATTCCACAACGTACTCTCAGCCCACGGACGGCTCCACTACGAGTTCTCATCGGCTTCAAATCTTAGCGACATCGGGGGATATGATTCAGTGAGAAGGAATGGGGCTGAATTTGTTCACCATTCCCCCATCGCCCCGTTCGCTAGCCCCAAAATACCCCCCCCCGCACACCCCCCACACCCCACCCTGCGGCAGCCAAATGCGCGCGGCAGCGTCCCCACAAACAGCCGTGGATTGAAGCGACCAAATTCTTCTTCTTATTTTTTTGAGGGATTATCACTCCCGCAAAGCGATCCGCCAATCGACTAACAATCGGGGACCCTACTTACTGCTGACGAAACAGAGGCGCGTGTGGGTGTGTGTGTGTGGGTGTGTGTGTGGGTGTGTGTGTGTGTGGGTGTGGGTGTGTGGGTGTGTGTGTGTGTGTGTGTGTCGAGCGACACATGCACACGCGTTTTGTGCGTGTGCGTGTGTCGCTCGCGCTCTCTGCCTCTGTCAGTCTGTGTGTGTGTGTCTCTCTCTCTCTCTCTCTCTCACTGCCTCAGTCTGTGCGTGTGTCTGTGTGTATGTTTTGTGTGTGTGTGTGTGTGTGCGCGCGCGAGCGCATGTGTATGTGTGTGTGTGCGCGTGAGAGTCTTTGACAATTGAGTCAACTGGGACCCATGGAAGATCTTTTTGGTTTCCCCTAATATTCCCCTCTGACTACAACGACAGACAGAGAGAGAGAGAGAGAGAGAGAGAGAGAGAGAGAGAGATTAACTAACAGTGAATTTCAGTCACATTTTCCAGCTCGGAGCCTGAGGAGATTTTTTTGCGACTAATTACACAGTGATCAAGGGATACACTCTGGATGGCTTTAATTAACGTCAGTGAATGAAAACATTTTAAGGGGCAAATATGTTGTAATTACAGCCAATTTGTGAATTAATCCGGATCATCTCGCGATCTTGAAGCTAATCTAACCGAGTAATTGGAATAATCCCTTCAAATAAATAAAATAACAATTTGGTCTCTCAATCCGGGACTGTTCCTGTGGGGGGGAACGCCGCTGTGCGCCATCGGCCGCCGCGTTCCGCCCACAAACTACACAGTCAATTCACTTTACAGTGTATCCCGTGAAGCGCTTTGAGGCGCCTCGAAGGCGCGATTAAGTACGAGGATTATTGTTATTATGATTGCAAAAGACAAAAAGAAAAAAAGGACAAAGCGATGTGACGGTGTTGCGTTAATATCTCTCAGAGGATCTCATTAACAAAGCCAGGAATGCCCACCTTTCCAGTCACACTACCTGGGCTCTAAGCGTCTCAAGTCCCAAGGACGCAGGTAGTTTACTCTGTTGAGCCTTGGATTTGGAGCCATTTGGATAGGGTTCAAATCCCAGTGGCTCCCACTCAGGTTTTTACGACAATAACAGCAACAACTAATATTGTAACGTGTCGTGACTGTGTGTGTTGCGGGTGAAACGAGAACAGCCCGATGCCCGATGCCGAGCCAGGAGGAGGGGGCAAGCGGCCGTAGGCACGGTCGAAGAAGAAGGCCATCGGGCGCGACCTGAAGGTGGGGAGGGAGGGAAGGGGGCGAGATGGAGGGGTACAGGGAGAATGCTCCAGGGTTCCGGGGTGTAGTAGCTGAAAGCGCAGCCGCCGATGGTGGAGCGGAGGCTGGAGCCAGTCGAGCGGAGGCAGCGGGTAGTGGGTTGGGGAGTAAGGAGGTCGGAGAGGTAGGGAGGTGAAGGCAATGAGAGGGGCTGGAAGGCAGGGAGAAGACAGAGAGAAAGAGAGAGAGACAGAGAGAGAGAGAGAGAGAGAGAACAGAAGGGCAGAGAGAGAAAGAGAGACACTGAATGTCAAACTTACGAGATAGCTTCGATCATGTCCACACCCATCTCCACGCAGCAGTGGCCGTGGTCAGCCCTGGCCTCCGGCAGCCCCGACACACAGTAATAACAATCCCCCAGGATCTTAATCCGCAGACAGTGGTTCTCCTGTCAGGAGGGAGAGACAGACCTGAGCGAGAGAGTGCGTGTGTGTGTGTGTGTGTGTGTGTGCGTGTGTGCGTGTGTGTGTTTGTGTGTCTCTGTCTCTGTGTGTGTCTTGCTTGCGTGAGCGTATATGCGGGTGTGTGTGTGTCAGTGTGAGTGTGTATGCGTGAGAGCACGTGTGAGCGTGTGTGTGTGTGCCTGTGCGCGCGCGTGTGCGTGAGTGCCTGTGTGCGTGCGTGCGTGCGTGAGTGAGTGAGTGAGTGAGTGCGTGAGTGCGTGCGTGAGTGAGTGAGTGAGTGCATGCGTGAGTGAGTGCGTGCGTGCGTGCGTGAATGCGTGAGTGAGTGAGTGAGTGAGTGCGTGCGTGCGTGTGTGAGTGCGTGAGTGAGTGAGTGAGTGCGTGAGTGCGTGAGTGAGTGAGTGAGTGCGTGAGTGAGTGCGTGCGTGAGTGAGTGGAGTGAGGTGGTGTGTGAGTGAGTGCGTGAGTGAGTGAGTGAGTGCGTGTGAGTGAGTGAGTGCGAGTGAGTGCGTGTGAGTGAGTGAGTGAGTGCGTGTGAGTGAGTGCGTGAGTGAGTGCGTGCGTGCGTGAGTGAGTGAGTGAGTGAGTGCGTGCGTGAGTGCGTGAGTGAGTGCGTGCGTGAGTGAGTGAGTGAGTGCGTGAGTGCGTGCGTGAGTGAGTGAGTGAGTGAGTGAGTGAGTGCGTGAGTGCGTGCGTGCGTGAGTGCGTGAGTGAGTGAGTGCGTGAGTGAGTGCGTGCGTGAGTGAGTGAGTGCGTGGTGAGTGCGTGGTGAGTGCGTGAGTGAGTGAGTGCGTGCGTGCGTGAGTGCGTGAGTGAGTGAGTGAGTGAGTGCGTGCGTGAGTGAGTGCGTGCGTGCGTGAGTGCGTGAGTGAGTGAGTGGTACGTGGTGAGGAGTGGTGAGGCGTGGTGCGTGAGTGGCGAGCGTGTGCGCGTGTGTGCGCGTGCGTGCGTGCGTGAGTAGCTGTGTACGCGCGCGCGCGAGTGTGCGCGTGTGAGAGCGTGAGCCTGTGCGCGTGTGTGTGCGTGTAGCATGTTTGGCGGAGCTACTCACTGAAGCCAGCTTGTCGAACCTGGCGAAGAGTTCATTGAGAGTCATGACGAGCTCCTGGGCCGTGCACTGAGAGGCCAAACTGGTGAAGCCCTCAATATCCGCAAATAAGATGCTGAGAACACAGGAGAGGGGATCAGAAGGTGTTTTTTTTTGTTTGGTTGGTGGTGGGGGGGAGCAGTGATAATAATAATAATAATAATAATACGGAAAAACTCCGCGCACTGTAAAGCGAATCGACTGTATATTTTGTGGGCGAAACGCGGCGCCGCAAACCGGTCGCGGATTGAAGCGATCGATTTATTATTTCATTTATCTATTTATTTGCTTAATTTTTTTTTGGGGGTTGGGGAGGAATTATCACTCCCCCCCCCGGGGAGCGATCCGCCAATCGCTGACTACCGACCGGGTTCCTGCTCACTGGGTAAACAGAGGCGTGTGTGCGTGTTTGAGTAAGGAAAACCTGGCGAAGGTTGTGCCCTGACCCGCCCGGCCGGGAATCGAACCCGGGTCCTCTCGCTTGCGAGGCGGGCGCTCTAACCGCGGTCATCGCTGCTCTAACCCTCTGCGCGACTCCGCGGGCTTCCTCAGAAGCCTGGTGTGTGCAGGATGGCTGACTGTGAGCTTCACACGGGCCTGCGTGTGGGCGCCTGGAATAGATTCTCGGTGAATTATATATCACAGTCCCTTCCCTCAGAGATCCTGTGACTCGACGGCCCTTTCGGATCAGTCAGACTCCATCTGGTTCCTCTTTGGTGTCTCTGCGCTTCGTTCCTCAACGGTGCGGAGCCTTGCAATTGTCAGGCGGGGACTGAGCCGGCGCGGGCACGTCATGCCACGGCGTCCCTCTCCGAAGCCTTTTACCCCTCGCTCCCCTGCCACCCTACCCGGCCGCCCCCCACATCACCCCACCCCCCACTCCCACTTCCTTACGCTTTTCCGGGGGTAATAAATAATCCCTTCGCCCCCAAAATTATAATAATAATAATAATAATTTGGTCACTCGATCCACGGCTGTTTGCGGGGACGCCGGCCGTGCGCGATTGGCTGCCGCGTTTCGCCCACAAAGTACACAGTCACTACGCTTCACGGTATATTCAGCGACGCGCTCGTGAGACGTCACAAAAGACGCGATTAGGCGCTGTATCAAATGCAGGGATTATTATTGTTGTTATTATCCTCCCTCCCTCCCTCTCCCCTGAAGCACTTCCATACTGAACCAGTCAGCACCTAACCCGACAGAGGTTAGGATCGACATAATAATAATTCATACAATAATTATCCACAATAATCCTTGCATTGGTCGTGGTCGTCGATAAGAATTTCCAGCCAAGTTTTGTTGTTGCCCAGACGGGTGTCTGGTGTCTGGTGTCTGGTGTCTGACACACGCAGAAACCCATCACCGTTGCGTAAGAGTCTCCAAACCCAACTGAGAATTCCATGTCTTCCCCCTTCCACATGGAAACCCCAGCGATAGACTGTTGGAATGGAATACGTTCTCTATCTCTCTCTCTCTCTCTCTCGCTTCCCCCCTTACCTAATTCCGGAGAGTATTAGGCGCAGGTTGACCAGAGCCAAGGCTTGAGGGGGAGCCCAGACCGTGTGTGTGGGGTCACTGCTGGAGTCTAACCGGCTAAACCCACACAGCTCGGCCATTGATATCGCTGTCTGGCCAAGCTTTCCCGCTGCTTGTCCAGCGAGGACCCCCTCCCCGTCAGTTAGGGCTTTGGCTGTGGGGTTAACAGGAGCTGAGGGGGGAGGATTCACTGCCCCCAGTGACTGGTCGGCCCTTCCAGGTCCTGCCGATGGGCCGGGCCGGGCTGTGCTGCCATCAGCAGCGAGCGCCCTGGGACACTGCCCACCCTCCTGGCTCAGGAACCCACTTAATTTGGGACCTAAGGGAGCGAGGAGGGATGGGGAGTGCGGGCGGCAGTGGGGTACATGCCCCCTGTCCCTCTCTCCCCCCCCCCGCCCCCCGCCCCCCGCTCCCCCCTCGGCCTGGTCACCTCTACCTCACGTTGTCGTGCTTCTGGATGTAAATCTTGTGGAACATCATATCCTCCTGCTTGGCGTTGATGTCTGCCTTCATCTCCATGGCGACGTGGCGAGGCAGCACCGACAGCAACAGCCGCTCCTGTGGGAGACGGAGAGAGGGAGAGATGGAGCTCGGTCGCCATGGTTACACAGTTTGGCCGATAAAAATGGAGGGGACCAGAGAGGATGGCGGAGGTGTGGGGGGGGGGGGGGAAGAGGGGCAGGAAGGAGGGAGGGAGGAAGGAAAGAAAGGAAGAAAAGGATGGAGGAAGAGGGGAAGGGAGAAGGAAAACAAGTGAAGGCAGAAAGTAACGCACTTTGATTGACACGAGGAAGAATACGGCTTTTTCATTTAATGGTTCTGTTTGAAGTGTTTATTAAGACATAGTCCTCTTGCTCCGTCAGCCCCCACCCCCAGCCCCTAACCCCCTCTCCCACCCCCTCTCCCGCATTTAAATTCTAACCCTAAAAACCCTGGGCTTCGGGTCAACGCCACAAATCTCATTCACACAGCGGCTTTCACGTCGGGAGGACGTCCCACGCTGGGGGTTCGGATGAGGAGGAGTAGAGGGCGGGGAGGGTGGGTGTAGGACGTCGACCGAAGGGCGTGGTCTTTTTTAACGACCGAAGAGCCCCCTTAGCTTGCCTAATCGTTGCCTAACCTCACAGGAAGGTCCTCGGGCGTGACCTGAAGATGGGGAGCGGGAAGGCGGAGAGAGAGAGAGAGGAGCTTTGGGACGTAGCCGTACTCGACTGATTCAGTAACACAGCCCTGCATCCCGTCTGCCCTGTTTGCGGCCACCGTTACGACATAGTGACCAGCGGAGTCAACTCACACCCCTTTATCTATCTCTAACTTGCCCCTCAGTAAGTTCTAACCCCTCACCAGTGGTTGCGTGACTCCTGTTTTTCTTACGTCCCAGTTCCGTGCCTTCTGAAGGCTGGAGTTTGATGTTTCGCAGAAGTCTATTTCGGTCCCTTGGCTAAATATTTATGTGAAGCATTTTTTTTTTTTTTTCGACTGAAGTGAGGTCCTGAGACTCAGCTGAGGAAAACGAGCTGGTGCGTTTATGTGTTTGAAATGCTCCTCGCTTCCCTTCCCCCCCCCCGACACCCTCACCCCATCAGAGAGCCTTAATATATAACCATATAACAACGCTAATAATCCTTCCATTTGATACAGCGCCTTATCAAGCAGTTGAGACGTCTCGAGGCGCTTCGCAGAATAGACTGCGAAGTGAATCGACTGAGTTTTGCGGGCGAAACGCGGCAGCCAATTGCGCGCAGCAGCGTCCCCACAAACAGCCGTGGACTGAGCGACCAAATTATTATTATTTTTGGAGGGGTTCTTGCCCCCGGAAAGTGATCCGCCAATCGACTAACAACCGGGTTCCTACTGACCGCCGGGGAAACAGAGGACGTGTGTGTGGAGTAAGGAAACTCGCCCAAGGTTTTGCCTCAGGCAATAATAATAATTCTTGCACTTGATAACAGCAGCGAATCGTCTGGCCAGACCCTCACCTGCTGTTGGTTTTCCTTCTGGGAATGGAGTCTGGCTTGGATACACTCCCGCGTCTCCTGGAAAGCCTGTCTCTGGGACACCTCGGCAGGGTAGTGGGTGCAGACACCAACGATGTTAGTGCAGGAGAAGATCAGGACGTTGGAGATCAACTGCAGGACCAACAGTAACCTGGGTTAATACACGTTATTTACAGAAATTAATAATAATCCTTGGATTTGGTACAGCGCCTTTCATGTCAGAAGACCCCCCCCCCCATCCCCCACCCCGCAAAGACACTCAAAGCGCCTCAAAGAATATACTACAAATAATAATCCTTGCATTTGATATAGCGCTTTTCACGTCGGGAGGACGTCCCAAAGCGCTTCACAGAACACACTGTAAAGTGAATTGACTGTATATTTGTGGGCGAACGCGGCGGCCAATGGCGCACAGCAATGTCCCACAAACAGTCGTGGATTGAAAATGACCCATTTATTATTGTTTTTGGTTTTGGAGGGATCATTATTAGGCTCTGTGTGGAGTAAGGAAACTTGCCCGAGGTTTCGCCCTCTGCCTGGAATTGAACTCAGGTCTCTCACTTGCAAAGCGAGTGCTCTAACCACTGAGCTACAGGACTCCACACGAAGTGAAGTGACCGTATATTTTGTGGGCGAAACGCGGCAGCCAATTGCGAACAACAGCGTCCCCACAAACAGTCGTGGGTTGGGTGATCAAATTATCAATTATTATCTTTTTTGAAGGGCTTATTATCCCCAGGAAAACCGATCCGACAACTGACTGACAACTGGGTTCCTACTTACTGCTGCTAGTTGCAAGGCAAGAGCTCTAACCAATACGCTCCACAATGCCACAATATAAATTGGCAGCAGCCAATTTGCACACAACTACATCCCACCAATTTTATTTGGGGGATTGTTGACCAGGACACCGGGAGAGAGAGAGAGCGTTTCCATGTGTAGGGCGGGGGGGGGGGGGGGGATGCGGGGAATTCTCAGTTGGGTTTGGATGCTCTTAAGCAACGGTGATGGGTTTCCGTGTGTGGGTCAGACACCCGGTTGACCGAAATAAATAAAATAATCGAAAAAACGTGACTTCGCCTTAAAGTTTCATCCGCAGGATGGAATCTTCTGGCGAGGTCGGAGCAGGGTAGACCCCCAGGGCGAGATACGCCGTTCAGATGGGTGCGCAGATCAAAGTTCTCCGGGATCCAGGGCACGTGTGGAATTAGCAGGAATTGGTGAAAAGCCTCTTTATTTCCTGAATGTTCTATCGCGGCAGCTAAATGCCTGCAGTAAGAGGCCTGGAGTGTTGGATTTCCATCTCCTCTTCAAACTGGGATCAAAGAGACTTTTCGGCTCAGAAGCAGCAGCTGGAGACCAGAGTGGAGCTCAGAGTCGGCTGGGGGAGGGCAGGGTTCTGTGCTGTCGAAGGAGTCCTGTAGCTCAGGGGTTAGAGCTCTCGCCTCGCAAGCGAACAGGACCCCGGGTTTGATTCTCGGGAGGGTCAGGGCAATACCTCAGGCAAGTTTCCTTACTCCAACGCCTCTGTTTACCGAGCAATGAGTAGGAACCCGGTTGTCAGGCAATTAACAGATCGCTTTCCGTGGGATAAATCCCTCCAAAGAAAACAAAAAAAATTATACTTTGGTCACAGTCAAACTCGTTCAAGCAACTGACGACACACAGCCCAGCTGGCTCATCCTCCCACTCAGCTCCTGTTAACCCTGCCAACCAAAGCCCTAATGGGTAGGCTGGTCCGAGCTGGACAAGCAGCGGGAAAGCTTGGCCAGACGGCGCTCTCAATGGCCTTAGCTGTGTGGTTTTCGCTGGTTTGTCTCCAGCAGTTACCCCCAACGCACACTCTGGGCTCCCCCCAAGCCTTGGCTCTTGCCAACCTGCGCCTAATACTTTCCGGAATTAGGTAAGGGGGCTGCGTCCCTCCAGGGAGAGAGAAAGAGAGAGAGAGAGAGAGGAGAGAGAGAGAGAGAGAGTGATGGGTTTCTGCGTGTGTCAGACACCCGGCTGGGCAAAAAAAAAGAAAGAATTTCAGACAGATGTGACTGCACCTTTAAATTTTCCATTCCAGCGATTACCCTTCACAGTAAATACAGTATCAGGCGCTTTGAGACATTTCGATGACGTGATAAGACGCTGCATCAAATTCAAGGAGTATTATTAGTATTTATGTATACAGTATAAAGATGCCATAGCAACTCAATGCAAATATTGACTTCAGATTGTCTAACCTTGAACATCGCATTGCTCTGAGGTGGAAATATATAACTCAGTGCCCTGCTAATCTCTCCGAGAGGCGACAAATGCAAGACATAATAATAATAATAATCATAATAATAATCCTTGCATTTGATACAGCGCCTCATCATGTCTTCGAGACGTCTACAAGTAGACACAGGATGTACTGTAAAGCGAATTGACCGGTACATTTTGTGGGCGAAACTCAGCAGCCAATTGCCCACAGCAGCGTCCCCGCAATAGATTGAGTGACCAAATTATTCCTTTTGTTGTTTTAAAACATTTTTTGAAGGGATTATTACCCCCGGATAGCGATCCACCGATCGGCTAAAAACTGGGTTCCTACTTACTGCCGGGGTGTGAGGAGTGTGGAAACTTGCCCAATTTTCGCACCGACCCGCCCAGGAATCAAACCCAAGTCTTCTTGCTTGTTATTGTTATTATTTTGAAGGGATTATTATCCCCTATTCTATCCTATCCTATTCTATCCTATCCAAGCAGGAGGCTTCTTGGCAAAAGAAGTGACTTGTTTCTCGTCAATGTGAAGATCAAACCGGGTGGTATTTTACTGGCTATAATCTGCATTTAACGAGGAGACCTGGAGCACCTCTCTTTAATTACAGAGCAGAGCGAGAGATAAGAGACAGACACTGCTTAAAGAGTCAGTCACCACACTGGTCGCCTGTCCGTCGTGACGGTTTGCTTGATTTGCTGACTACAGTGGAGTCCTGTCGTGTAGTGGTTAGAGCGCTCGCCTCACACGCCAGAGGACCTGGATTCCATTCGCTGGCGGGGCAAGTCCTTAGGCAGATTTACTCACTCCACACACCTCTGTTTACCCAGAGGTAAGTCGCGATGAACCCGGTTGTTAGTCGACTGGTGGATCGCTTTGCCGGGGATGATAATCCCTTTATTAATTATTTTAAAATAAATGTTAAATTCCTCCCCCCCCAAAAAATAATAATGATTTGGTCGCTCAATCCGCGGCTGTTTGTGGGGGGAAACGCCGCTGTGCGCCATCGGCTGCCGCGTTTCGCCCACAAAATACACAGTCAATTCGCTTCACAGCATATTCTGCAAAGCGCTGTGAGACGTCTCGACAACTTGCTAAGGCTAAGGATTATTATTATTCTCATTCGGAAAAAAAAACCCCAGCCGGGACTCACAAGGAAATCAGGCAGCTTTTCGGCGATCAAAGGTTACTGTTAATATTTCCATTATATAAGCAACAGACGTTGGATACAGAGACAGTGTGAGCTCACAAGACTCTCTGTTTATCCTCTGGGAATGGCAAGCTACTGATCCAAGCTGCGTAACATCACACGCGAGCTTTTTTTTCCCCGGGAAAATCTCCTCCCAACTGGAACACCGACAATTCCTGAACAGGCGCGCTCCACAACAAGACCAAATAAATCCCATCGCAAATTCAGTTCCTCTCCTCTCTCAGACCAGGCTTTGCCCAACCATCGCCCACCCCCACCCGCGGGCATCGTTCCTCCCAACCAGCAACTCTTTCCTCTCTGGCTCCGGCGTCCAGAGCTCATCGGTTCAACCCCCGATATTAATAGTAATCCTTTGCAATCGATACTGCGCCTTATCCTACGTCATCGAGTCGTCTCGAGGCGCTTCGCAGCATGTCCGGTAAAGCGGAGTGACTGTGTACCTTGTGGGCGAAACGCGGCAGAATGGCGCGCGGCGGCGTCCCCCCACAAACGGCCGTGGATTGAGTCAACCAAATTATTATTTTTTTTTGGGGGGGGGAGGGATTATCATCCCCAGAAAAGCGATCCGCCAACCGGCTAACAACCGGGTTCCTGCGTACTGCTGGGCAAACCGGAGGGGTGGGTGGGGTACGGAAACTTGCCCGGGAGTGAGTTCAACCCGGGTACTCTCGCTTTAACCACTACGCAACAGGGTCGCCTTCTGTCTGAGCAAAAGCAGCACCGGCAAGGCCAACGGCGCATGCGACAGCAGCAGAGATTCTTCTGTTACTATGATAACAAATGTGCTGCGCTCCGAAACAAACGAGTTAAATGACACATAAATGAGTAGGAAAAAGCCTTGTGTTTGTCAGGCTCAGCCGTAAAGCAGGCTCCCCCACCCCCGGACAGACACTGTTATCGTGAACAGATCGTGTTGGTTTTCCGCGAGCTGCCCTGGAATATTCTACGCCGAATAGCGCGGCCGCTTTACCCACGGAACATCGAGCTGCAAACAAAGAAATGTCTTTAAAATAGCGATAGTGAATGATAATCATCCCGGCGTTCGGTCCAACGCCTCCATCGTGTCGCGAAAAACGTCTCCGAGGCGCTTCGCAGAACAGACTGTTAAAAGTGGATTCACTGCATGTTTTGTGAGCGAAACGCGGCAGCCAACGGCGCCCAGCGAGACCCCGAGATCTTTTTTCTCTCCTGGGGATGAGGATTAACATGAGGGAGGGAGGGAGGGGGAGAGGGGGGACAGAGAGAGGCTCTAAAGCAGACTTCTCAGGGAAGCTAATAATCACACGAGTGAGGACGTGTCAACACGGGTTTGTTAAGAGTGTTCCCGAGCCAACGAGGAGACAACGTCAGTTAAAGTCCCCCCAAAAACTTGCCCCCCCACACGGAGGACCGTGTCCCCCCCCCCCCCCCCCCCCCCCCCCCCCCCCCCCCCCCCCCCCCCCCCCCACAGGAAGGACATGGGTGGGGGGGGTGAGTGCAGCCCTGTAGTGTTGTGCGTGCGAGAGGACCCGGGTTCGATTCCCGGGCGGGTCAGCGCGAAGAGTTTAGACAAGTTTCCTTACTCCACACACACACACACGCACACGCACACACACACACGCGCGCGCCCTCTCCTCTGTTTACCCAGCGGTTACCCGGAATTGTTAGCCGATCGGCGGATCACTTTCCTCGGGGGGTAATCATCCCTCCCAATAAATAAATAAATCAATCAATCAATCAATCAATAAATCAATAAATAATGAGAAATGGGTCACTCGATCCCCGGCTGTTTGTGGGACGCTGTTGGCGGCCGCGTTTCGCCCACAAAATGCACACAACTAACAACCGAGTTCCTACTCACTCCTGGGTAAACAGGCACGCGTGTGCGTGTGCGTGTGTGTGTGTGTGTGTGTGTGTCTGTGTGTGTGGAGTATGGAAACTTGCCCAAGGTTTCACCCTGACCACCTGGGAATCTAACCCGTGCCTCTTGCTCGAGAGAGAGAGAAGAGTTCGGAGAAGGTTTCTCCTGAGTTTGCCCTCAGGGTTGGACTTGTGATGGGTCGAACTGGTCCCATTGCAGACGTCAATGGGTTCGCAGTACAGAGGCCGCCTTAGTTTGCCATTAATTGGTGTTAAATTGCTTGTGACCAGAGCCTGGTTGGTGCTGGAAAGTGGATATTACATGAAGCCGAGGCTCACTGGCTACCCATCTGCTGTCCTCACCTTTCAAGCACTCCACACGGTCATAGGAAACATAGGAACAGGAAGAGGCCATTCAGCCCCTCGAGCTTGTTCCGCCGTTCCATTCAACCATGGAATCAGAGGATATTGCAGCACGGAAAGGAGGCCGTTATTTGGAAGAGCTGCTCAATCAGTCCCGCTCCCCCACTTTCCCCGGGGCCTTGCAAAGTTTTCCTCTTCGAGGCCCCGTCCAATCCACCTTTTGAAAGTTGTCGTTGAATCTGTTTCCACCAACGCTTTCAGTCCGTGCGTTCCAGACCGTAACATCTCTCCGGATAAAAATCATGGCTGATCTGTCCCTCAACTTCATTTCCCCGCCTTTGCCCCATATCCCCCTGACACCCTGACCCAGCAAATGTCTCCCCACCTCAGTCCGATTTTAAGATGATGCCCCTCCTTGTTCTGGATTATTCACCCACAAAATACGCAGTTGCTACACTTCACAATATAACCTGCGATGCACTTTGCGCCGTCTCACCGATGTGCCCTCTATCAAGTGCGAGGAATATTATTATCATTGTTTTACGGTTGACTACCTTTCGTTCTCGCTCTCTCTCTCTCTCTCTCTCTCTCTCTCTCTGTTTCCCCTTTGTGTTAATTAAAAGACGGAAACATGAGTTAACACCAAAAAAAAAAGAAATCTGTAACGCGTGAAGGAAAATCTCCCGAGAGCCTGAGAAGCAGAACTGCCGTTGGCCTCTCGCCTCGTGTCCGAGATGTATTTAACGTCACCAGAATCAACTCAAAGCCCGAACGTCTCCTTCCGGGCATTTACAAGGTCACACTACGCTGTTCGCCGTGTTGTTGTCGCTCCGTCGTTGTGGAGTCCTGTGGCGTTCGAGAGGACCTGGGTTCGAGTCCCCGGGCGGGTCAGGGCGAAACCTCGGGCAAGATTCCTTACTCCACGCTCTGGGGGGGGGGGAGTGGAGGGGGGGTAATAATCCCTCCAAAAAAAAAAAATGCGGTCACTCAATCCGCGACTGTTTGTGGGGACGCTGCCGTGCGCAATGGGCTGCCGCGTTTCACCCGCAAAATGCGCAGTCACTCCGCCTGACGGTACGCCCTGCGAAGCGCTTCGAGACGTCTGAGCGGCGCGAGGAGGCGCCGTGGCAAAGTTAAGGAGAGCGCGTTGCCAGACGTGTCGCGTTGGAGCCAAGGAGACGCCCGCTTACCCCATTCCCCGAGGAGGTTTCCCCGCGGGAGCGGTCTTAAGGCTGAGACCCTGGGGAATTCAGGCGCCCCACCGTGACCAGGCCGGGATTTCTCGAACCGATAGTTAAAAAGTTCTCACTTTATTTTCCACTTCCTCTCCTGTGGTCCGTTTGTCGTCTCGAGAGAGCGCTGAGACATGTCACGTTTCCTTCCCGTTCGTGTCCCCATCTACCGAATCGATCCATTTTCCACCGGATATAATAATATTAATAATATTAATAATAATAATCCTTACCTCTAAGGGTAAACGGAGGCGCGCGTGAAGGCAACTTGCCCAAGGTTTTGCCCCGACCCGCCCGGGAAATCGAGGCGAGGGCTCCAACCGCCCCAATGTCCCCCCACCCAGCCCGGCCTGGAAAAAACAGTCACTACACATGACAGTGATTGCTCTTGACAGGCGTTGCCGTGTGCGCGTGTGCGCGCGTGTGTGCGTGCGTGCGCCTTGTTGACAGACGTCTGTCACTCTTATCTCTGGCCTTCTGGCACAGTGATTGCCTCTCTCGCAAAGTGGGTTCGTCCCCGTACGACTCCCGCGCTCTCAGACTCTCGTTCCTTTTAGCGTCCTCTCCTCTACAAATATTTGCCTCGTTCCCTCTTTAATCTGGTATTGATTTTGTTTGGCTTCAGTCTGGCCTGTTTTTGGTCGGGCTTCGGCTTATAATAATAATCCTCGCATTTGATACCGCGGCTTATCGCGCCGTCGAGACGTCTCAGAGCGCTTCACGGGATGTAGAGTGCGCGCGCGCGCGCGTCCGCGCGTGACTGTTTGCGCGCGGGTGCGTTTACGTGGGTGTTAGTGTTTGGTGTGTGTGTCTGTGGTGTGGTGTGTGTGTGTGTGTGTGTCTGTGGTGTGTGTGTGGTGTGTGTGTGTGTGTGTGTTTGCACATCCTGCCAAGCGCCTTCGCATGGCATTGCTCTCAAGTGTAGTGACTGTGTGTTTGTCAGCGGTTGGGGCTCGGTGGGGGCAGACGCTAAGAGGTCGTGCGGCACCATTTGGAAGTGGCGGAGGGCGCGGGAGCGGTGTTGAGGCCAGAATTCACCAGTCACATGTGCACACACACACACATACACTCCCACACACACTGCCACACGCACGCACACACACACACACACATATGCACACACACACACACACACACCACACACACACATCCCAAACACACATCACACACATGCACATGCACACGCACATGCACACACACACACACACACGCACACACACGCACCCACACACACCAGACCATCGCTCCAGCCATCTCCGTGATAAAAAGCCAACCCATTTTACCACGAAATGTTCCTCTGCGATAACGTTCTGCGGTCCGTTCGCTCGGCAGTAATTAGAGTGTTTATTTATGGCGCTGATTGGCAGCCCTGTAGTCTGGGAGGGGGACGGCGGGGGGGTAGGGGGGTGGTGGTGGGACGGCGGGGGGATGGGGGTGGGGGGAAACAGCTCACGAGGAGAGATATGCCGAGTGTTGCCTGCGTTGATAGAGCGAGAGTGTGCGCTTCACAGGATACGCTGTAAAGCGTAGTGACTGTGTGTTTTGTGGTTAAAAGTCCCACAGTGCAGGGAGTTGGTGCCTCTGGTAGTGCAAAGTTCCCCCACACACCCCCCACCACCACCACCCCCCCCCCATCAGCCTAGACAATATTCCTCCCTTATCTCAGGGTCACTGAATGGAGACAGATTTGTCCTTCACCCACGGCTTTAGTTTAATGTCTTGTCTGAAGGACAGCGGCTGACAATGGCAGTGAC